AATGAACCAACAATACCACATCTGGCAAGGATGTATAGCAATTAGAACCTCTCATACACTGCTAATGAGAGTAAAAATTGGTGCAATTGCTTTAGAAAATTGTTTGGCACTATCTATTAAATATTACCATATGCAGACCTTATATACCCAGCAATTTGACTACTAGATATATGCCCCACAAAAATGCATATAAAATTTCACTGCAAGTGTGTATGATAAGTTAGCAGCACTCTTTGTAATAACGAAAACTAGAAACAACCCAAATATTTGCCCACAGTAACTCCTATGTGGAAGGCACTGGAGAAGATAGTGAATGGAAGGGGCCACAAAGGGGCTTCTGAAGTAGAGTTCTGGTAGTGTTTTGTGAAGTCATTAAGCTATATGTACACTTATGATTTGTGTACTTTCCCATATGCATGTTAGTATCTCTAGGACAGTCCATGAAACAAGAGAAAAGGCTTAAAAATTTTAATATATTTTACCTTACTTCTCCCTGTCCCTCTAACCCACTTGACCTGTTACTTACTAAAGGAAAGCAAATGTTCACTTTTTCAGAATCTTCTAAGAAGTTAGTTGCTTCTTAGAATCATGAATCCAAATGGTCACTAATTTTGTTAGGAGAATAATACTCTTAAACCTCTTCAGTAACTTAGTGTACTTGTTCTCACTTCCAACTTTACTACCCACTACCATCTCAAGCTTTAAAGATGGATTCTACTTTTATACAATACATTGGTCCTTTTCTAATCTTTCAAGACTTTTCTTGTCTTTCTGAGTTTCTAATTTAGCATATGAATTATAGTAAATACCTTTCAAGTTATATTTTCAGTCTATCTGCTGAAAATAGTAAGCATAATTGTAAACTTGTTTTCTGTGAAAATAAAAAATTATCTGATGTTACAGTTGTTGGACCCCTACTTAGCAAATGGGGTTTTTACAGGATTTGTAAATTGTACTAACAATGCCAAAAGTATTTTTGTAGATCTCAATGACAGCAACCAAGTCACATCAGGAATGAAAGGTACAAAGCACGCATGTGATGAATTTATGCTATACAAAGCAGCAAACAAAAAGAACCTTAGACCTTTTGTTTAAAATCAATTGACAACACCTTATCCCATGTGGCTCAGTTGGGTCTGGCATTGTCCTACCAAAGCAAAACAAAAGCTCACTGGTTCATCCTCGTCAAGTGACACGCCTGGGCTGTAAGCCTAGACCCTGGCTAGGGAGCATGCGAGAGGCAAGCGATTGGTAGGTAGTTCTCTCTCACAACAATGTTTCTTTACCTCTCTTTCTCCCTGCCTTCCACTCTCTCTAAAGAAATAAACTAATTCTTCAAAAAAACCCCCAAACCCCAAAACTAATAGACAAATGTAAATAAACATCAGCACAATAGATAATTACTACATTTAAGTCTCAGCACTGCTGTCAATATTTGATGAATTATTTTTAAAAAGACTTAATTTTTCAATCTTGTTTTTTAAAAAAACTAAAATCTTGCAGGGTCAGAGTAGACTATGAAATTTAATAGTATGGTTTTGATGTGTATATGCACATTAAAATATCATGCATCTTAAATTTTAACTTTTATAATATTTTTTTTTTAAAGACTTTGTTTATTTTTAGAGACAGGGGAAGGAAAGAGGGAGAGAAACATCAGTGTGTGGTTGCCTCTCACGTACCCCCAACTGGGGACCTGGCCCACAACCCAGGCATGTGCCCTGACTGGGAATAGAACCAGAGACCTTTTGGTTCATAGGCCTGTGCTCAATCCACTGAGTCACACCAGGCAGGGCAACTTTTATACTCTTAACTAATGAATTTTAGAAATCTGTTCTAAACAATCAGGTGTCCAAAATATCCTTCTCTACTCTTCTTTGCAAAATGAACAAAACCAATTTTATCTAGATGAATGCTTTCTGAGTAAGAAAAATTCAGCTCAAAGGAACCAGTGTGAGAAAAAGCATAATAACAGTGATAGGCATATTCTAACAAGGTCATTCTTGGGCAATAGTTCCCATAATAAACTACTGTGTTCAAGTTTGAGTCAGCTGGTTCTTTCAAAATCACTTATTTTTATTTATATTATCTTTGAATACCAGAAAGATAGCAGATATATGCCAGAATATACCAAGACAGAGGTAGACCCTGATGAGTAGCTATATGTCAGGGTAACTCCAGAATGAAATATATATATATAAAAATAATGTTCTCTGAGCAACTTCTGGTCTTATCTTTCATATTCAGAACGTGAGACTCTTCCATAAGGTCAAAAATATCAAAATATCAGTTTCTTTTCTTTACTACTATTATAAGAATGATCCAGAATCTTCGATATGCTCAATCTCTTTATCTAGTCCTCTAGCTATTCTAATATTATATAGTCATCAAGTGCTAGGGATGATAGGGATGGTAATGAAATCATTTTTAGTAGGTTCCCACTAACATTTTAAAAAAGAATAAAAATGCCCTACCTTGTGTAGCTCAGTGGATTGGGCACTGGCCTGCAAACCAAAAGGCCACTGGTTCAATTCCCCATCAGGGCACATGCCTGGGTTGCAGGCCAGGTCCCTAGTTGGAAAGGCAACCAAGTGATGTTTCTCTTTCACACTGATATTTCTCTCTCTCTAAAAATAAATAAATGTTTCCCACTCTCTAAAAATAAAATAAAAATAGAATAAATAACAACCAGGGTGCACTGTATATGTGCATATTGTTTTATAAATATTTTATTGTAAAATGTATGTATGTGTAGCATGTGGTACATCTACACACTTATTTTACATCAAGTGCTGATATAAAATATTCTTGACTTGAATCATGATCACACTTCAATACCCACAGATATAATGGGCTTTATTGTATTTTTACTAACTGTTATACACAGGGAGCTTCAAACGACATAATCCTTTATTCAGAACCTAGGCTAACCTTTAAGGCTAAAAGATACCATGTAAAGATCATTCTGCTTATTTGAAAGCAGAGATTTCTTAGGATAGATACACCAACAAACTGCAAAATACACTGGTTGGGTTTTCAATATATGGATATTGGAGACCAAAAGCACAACAGTGTTTCTATGCTTACATAATTAGCTTTCAGCTACTTGTGACCCACTGGCTCAGTAACTCAGTGTATATTCTAAACCAATATAAGAGCAAATGTCTATCCACAACACAAAATAAAGTTTAAGAGGGAAATGAAAGTGAATCTAACTTTAATTAGATAAACCTTCAGATTTCACTGCCAATTTCCTATAAAGTATATTGCTCACATCTGCATCTCTCAGGAAATTCATTAACTAATATGGGACCTCACCGAACAGGTGCTCTACACACACTACTATATTTTCATAAAACATAAGAATACAAATCATATCTTTGAGTGTTACATAAGATGCAGGTGTCTACATAAAAGGGCTTAATAAACCCTTGGGAAAATGGTGCTTTCTGTACCAAAAATAAAATTAATAAAATTGTGTACTGTAATATATACCAGCGAATGTCAGGAAACTGGTCTATAGAAGGTTAAATATTCACCAGATATGTGAATATTTCACTAGCAGGGAGTCATTCTGCCACCATTAACATTATTTCAAACAGGCTGGAACCGAATTCTAGACTCTTTGCATTATTGTCCTTAACTCCAGAGTCCAAAAAAAGTACATAGAGCAATGCTTGAGAAACCAACTGAGAATATATCAGAGAAGGAAATCATACAGGTTTCTCCAGTGTACAAGGGGCACACACCAGATCCAGTAAAAGAACATCCTGCATTTGGTAGTAGTTGAGACTAATGACCCATTAAATGTTCCAGAGGATACATGTCCTAACTTCTTATGTAGTTGAAAAACTGTAATATAAACATGCAAATATCTTTTAATTCTCCAGTGCTACCCTTTCATTCAGAATAAAACCCAAATCCTTAGCAATAACTTATGAGGCCCCATAGGACCTGGACCTACATCAATCACCTTATTTCCTGTCACTTTCTCCTTCACCTACTTTACAGTGACCAACAATTACATGAAAAGTATGTAACATCATTACTTTTTATACCAATGCAATTTAAAATCATGAGGTACCACCACAAATTCAAAAACACGGACTGGAAATACCAAGTATAGGCAAGGATGATGAACATAATAGCAAATTTCTCACATTGCTGACTGAAGTGTAGACTGTAAAACCATTATGAAAAATGTTTGGCAGTGGCTACTAAATCTAAACATACATAAACCTGATTATAGCAATCCCACTCCTTTGGGACACAAATCCCAAAGTAAATAGTGCTTATGTACAAAAGATAGGTACAAGAATGTGCATAGCACTTTTATTCATAATAGCTGCAAACTAGAAGCAATCTAAATATCCACCACCAGTAAAACAGATTAATAAACTAAATTGTGGTATATTCAGACAGTGGAACACTGCATAGCATTAAAAAAGGATGCTATAATGCAACATGAAGCATATAAACATATTGAGGGAAAAGAAACCAAATGCAAAAGAGTACATGCTAGATAATTCTATTTACATAAAGTTCGAAAGTAATTGTGATAACAGAAGTAGAAGAGTGATTACCTTTATTTGTTGGTTTGTCTGAATTAGAGGTATTAAATGGGAAGTAGCATGAGGAAGACTTCTGGTTGCTGAAAATGTTTTATACCTTAATGTAGGTAGTTGTTACACAAGTGTTTTACGCATATGTAAATTCAGAGCTGTACATTTAAGATGTGTTACAGTAAAGTTATATACAAAAAATATACATTTAATATATATACCCTATATATACATACATATTCACACACATGCACACATATACAAACACACAAAATATCTATTGAGATGTATATAATAAATAATAAATCATACACTGCTCCCACTCCGCTGGGAACTTTTTGGCTCTGTCAGAAGATCATTCATTTTACTACTTTCACTGATTTAAAGAAAAGGGAATGGAGTACTACTTGGATAACTGACACTGAAAGAAATGCTTACCTTTAACAAAGGGCAGCTGCAAAGGTTGGGAAAGGAGAGTGGAAAATTCACCCCCAGAAGGAAATCCTTGTTTCTCAGATATCTCTGCTGCCTCTCTCCTTCTGGCTCTCCCCAGGAGCGCAGCTGATGGAGCCTGTAGGAGGCTTTCAGAGACAGGAAAAGAGCTAACCATCTGAAACAAATCACAGCACACATGCTTATTCAGTGCTCCACGGAGGTTTGAGTTAGTTTACATCAGTGAGGAACTTTATCTCGTTAACATGTCTCTTTTGTAAACTCCAAACAAATGGTTCTTTCCTACTTTGAGATAAAGCCATTTCATACTTTTATTCTATAAATTCCATCTTTGGCATGACTCGGTTTGCTACCATGAAAACTAAAATCCTCCACAAAGCCCATCTCAGTACTAAAAAATATTTAATTCTACCATAAAAACTCTACCATAAAAATTCTACATAAAAACTCTATCGTAAAAACATCCTCATATTAGTGAGAGCCTTTCCTAATGAGGCCACTATTTTCTACATAAGTACAAGATAATAAAATAAGTGAAAGCTATTATTCCAAAGACAAGAATATAGAACTATATTTCCCAGAACACTTAAGGCAGGCTATGCTGCAATCACTTCTAACTAAAGTAATCATCAGCCAACATTTGTCCTATAGAAACAAATAAAATATAATACACTAACTAGAAATTAAGAAGACCTGAAGACCTGGTAGCATTTGGGAGAACCCAAATAATTTTTATTTATGGCATATCATGAGGTATCATGCAATTATTAAATGATCAAGAGAAAATTATGATTCCCTAATAAAAATGTTTATTTTTAACAACAGAAAAAGGACAAGAGGCTCCCTAAGATAATATAACATTCAATAGTTAACCATCACGATATTCAACCTTTGACCTTGTTTATTTCTAATGGCTCTCTTGTCAAACAATGAGCAAACTTCTCACCTGGCCAGAAGTCCCTGAAGCATGAGGTTTGCCATTTCTGCTGGAGATATGTCAATAAAGCGAAGGAAAGAAAAACAGCTTTCTTCATTAACACCTAGAATATCAAAGGGCAAAGTCAAAGGCAGTAACAAGCTAAGAGATAATACTCAACTAAAGCCTGCTTGCTGAACTGCTGGATTTTGGCTTAATAATCAAAACATTTTTTAAAGGTTCACAAACCACAGTTATTTTGATGGAAGTCAGAGAGCCACATTTTTGTGCTACAATTACAAGTGGAAGAGGCAGTTCTATGAGATATGGCATAGATGAGCCAGCGTGAAGATGGCTCATGAGTTACATTTGGGGTTTTTACATCCTTGGTTAACTTCCTTCCTCTTTTTATTATGCTGGGGCGGGGGTGGGGTGGAAAAAGACAAAGGTGACTCTGAACCTTGCCTTAATACTTTGGTCAATGTTCTCAGTTGAGCAGTTTCTTTTCCTTAGACAAAGGGGGCAGAAACTAAGCCACGTTAATAAGAATCCTGCACTGTCTCTATCAAGTTTTAAGAGCAGTAAGTCAAAGAATCAGGTATAAAATAAAGATGGAAGGTCAATGTAATCAATTTCTGTTGCTTCCTATTACAGTCACAAATCATAATAACATCTATAGATGAAGATGACTAATTTACTTAAAAGAATCTTTAAAATTTTTTAAATTTATTTTATTTTAAAAAAGATTTTATTTATTTTTAGACAAAGGGGAAGGGAGGCAGAAAGGGGGAGAGAAACATCAATATGTGGTTGCCTCTTGTGCTCCCCACACTGGGGAACCTGGCCTGCAACCCAAGCATGTGCCCTGACTGGGAATCAAACCAGTGACCTTTTCCTTTGCAGCATGACACTCAACCCCCTGAGCCATACCAGACACAGTTACTTAAACCTTATCCAGACTTTATAAATAAAAACCTAGCATGCAGGCAAACTGCTAGTAATTCCAAATTAGTCACTTAGTGAACAAAGAGAAGCAATCTGGTAAATCCTTGTCATACTTTCCTTCCCAAAGATAAAAACACCTACCTTTTCTGTGAAAGAGAGACTGTTGGATATAGTCCGGTGCAAACGGAGAAAGAAGAACCCTTAACCACCTGTAAGGTAAGTAATAAAGTAAATCCAAACACAAATATAAATACTGGAAAGTTAATTAGACTAGAGGTTCCAAACTAAATATAGTCTTTTAGGTTTAAAATTCTTTATACTTTAAAGAAGCTTGTTATTACCAGGCAAATATCATGGTGTAAAAAGTCAGAAAGTAATACTACTTAAGAGGTATAAGATAATACTAGTTTAATGTAGTCTAATTTTATTTCAGAGACTCATAATTCTAGCACCCTAAGTTATCATACACTATAAACAAAAAGCACTACACCCCATCTGTTTCCTTCTGCCCATCTAGTTAATAATAAATAAAAGTATCAGACACAGGATTCTTAAAATTAAACTGATGAAATTTTTCAATTTCAGTTTCATTAGGCTAAATATCAATAATTATTTGGACAGTACTGTTTATACTGTTTCTCCTCGGAAGCAGCTTTCTAAATCCATGGTTCTCAAATGTGGGTGTGCCTCTGAACCCTTTGGGAGCTTGTTAAACAATCCAAAAGTCAGTACCACCCTCACTCACAGATGCAGAATTTACTTACACACCTATTTTCTGAATGGAAATGGTCTCGAGCACATTACCATTGACAACCACTTCACTTTTATCCCAATCTGTCACTGATGATTCTGAGAGGGTAAATTTGATTATTTAGAAATCCAATCAATTCTCCCACAAGTGCTATTCCATATGTAAAATAAGCCACCACAAAGCAATTTCAATAATGGAGCAGAGACGCATATTATTATACTACCAACCACACAAGTAAGCAGGCGTTACTTCTACCAGACCCTGTATATTCCTAAACTCCCCTAGACCAGAGGAGCAGAGATAATATGCGTATAATAATATGCTGATCTCTTTTGGTACAAGTACATATTTGCACACAGGTGCACCTTCCTCCCTCATTTGGAAAAGCAACTAGAAGTGGCCAGAGCCTTGAAGGTCACCCAGGGAAACCCTTGACAGTGCACAGACTCTCCTACCCTAAGATTCCTCAACAAATAGTTGTCCACCCTTTGTTTAAGTATGTTTTGTTGAGGAATTCACTCTCCACTAAATTCATCTCCACAATCCCCCAAATTACAAAAACACTAAAAAATAAACAGATATTATGTGTGCTCACCTGTCTCGTGAATGGTTGAAGACCCTGATCTGTCCATGATGGTAGATAAACTTTGAAATCTGGTATGGCTTTAGGGAAATATGAAATGGAGACCAAGTTTCTTGTCGTTCAAATAACTCTGGGTGATTACACACCTATGAGAAAGGAAAAGAAGACAACATTGTTATGTGCAGACATTATAAAGTGATGGAAAATCACAAACTATGAATGTTTACCTTTGTAAATAAATGCTTTCCCATTTTCATCCCTTTTAAATAACATTTACTTGGCATCAAGTTTAGAGGCCTTTCCCTTGAAGTGGACTAATAAAGAGAACTCCAAGACAGCTGACCCAGGCTCTTACCTTCCTAAACTGCATGACCAGATTCATGAGGCTGCTGGTGGTGGTCTGTGCTTGCTGGGTAGAGCCCATAGAAGACTGTAATAAATCCTCAATGGAAATTTTATTCTTTAGTGCCTGATACAGCAGCTTTTGTCGACTGGTAAGTTGGCAATACATTAGAATCTCAATCTAAAAATCAGTGAGAACATTTATATTTTGAAAAACAGTTTGTAAGAAACTCAGTATCAACTTAAAAGTTGAAAACACATACAAACACCAGATTGTCACTGAAAAAACTATATATATATATAAACCCAGTATCTCTATAAATCTGTGATACAGTTACCCTCTTTCCCTTGTCACCAATGTACATGGTGTCCCCTGGGCTAGCTTTTCCATTTCTAATAGCACCAACTATTGCCCATCACAGTGACTCACAACAAAAATACAGGGTCTGATACAAATAATGCCCCCTTTTTATTACAAAATCATAAGCATGTAATTGTAATTCTGTAACATAATATCAACTCAAGCATACCTTATGACATTATAGGTGAAATGTTCAAATTAAAACTATAAATTATTACACGCATATTATTACACTACCAACAACACAAGTAAGCAGGCGTTACTTCTACCAGACCCTGTATATTCCTAAACTCCCCTAGACCCATACTTTCAACCACCTACTACTCAGAGAATGTGCAGTTTTTAAGTGACATATCAAGAAAAAAGTGATCTTTTCCACAATTTACTAAACCAATTAACAGCATCACCACTCAGTTGCCCTTTTAGCTGATTTTTCTCTCATACCCCATGTGCTATCATTTCCTAAGTCCCTCAACTCAACCTGAAAATTTACTGTGAACTACCTTTTATTTTTTAAAAATATATTTTATTGATTATGCCATTAGTTATACCATTTCCCCCCTTCATTTCCCTCCACCCTGCACACCCCTCCCCCCGCATTCCTCCCTTTAGTTCATGTCCATGTGTCATAAGTTCTTTAGTTTCTACATTTCCCATACTACTCTTGCCCTCCCCGTCTATTTTCTCCCCACCGTCTATGCTACTTATTCTTTGCACCTTCTCCCCACCCCTCCTCCTCCTGCTCCCCTGTTGCTAGTCCTCCATATCATCTCCATTTCTATGGTTCTGCTCCTGATCTAGCTGTCCACTTAGTTTGTTTTTGTTTTAGTTGTGTTGTTAACAACTCTGAGTTTGCTGTCCTTTCACTGTTCGAGTTTTTTATTTTCTTTTTCTCAGATAAGTCCCTTTAACATTTCTTATAATAAGGGCTTGGTGATGATGAACTCCTTGAACTTGACCTTATCTGAGAAGCACTTTATCTGCCCTTCCATTCTAAATGAAAGCTTTGCTGGATAGAGCAATCTTGGATGTAGGTCCTTGCATTTCATGACTTGGAATACTTCTTTCCAGGCCCTTCTTGCCTGTAAGGTCTCTTTTGAGAAATCAGCTGACAGTCTGATGGGAACTCCTTTGTAGGTGACTGTCCCCTTATCTCTTGCCGCTTCTAGAATTCTCTCTTTCATTTGAATCTTGGCTAATGTAATTATAATGTGCCTTGAGGTGTTCCTGCTTGGGTCCAACTTTTTTGGGACTCTCTGAGCTTCCTGAACTTTCTGGAAGTCTATTTCCTTTGCCAGATTGGGGAAGTTCTTCTTTATTATTTGTTCAAATAAGTGTTCCACTTGTTGCTCTTCCTCTTCCCCTTCTGGGACCCCTATAATTTGGATGCTGGAACGTTTAAAGAAATCCTGGAGGTTCCTAAGCCTCTCCTCATCTTTTTGAATTCTTTTTTCTTCATTCTTTTCTGTTTGGTTGTTTCTTTCTTCCTTCTGGTCCACTCTAATGATTTTTTTCTTTCCATCACTATTGGTTCCCTGTGCATTTTCCTTTATTTCACTTAGTGTAGCCTTCATTTTTTCATCTAATTTGTGATCAAAATCAACCAGCTCTGTAAGCATCCTGATCACCAGGGTTTGAATTGTGTATCTGATAGATTGGCTATTTCTTGGTCGCTTAGATGTACTGGCTCTGGGGCTTTGATTTGTTCTTCCATTTGAGCCATTTTCTGGGGGGAGGTCTGGTCACACCTATTATGTCTGAGAGGCAGAGCCTTAGGTGTTCACCAGGGCGAGGCAACCCAGTTGCTGGGTTGTGACACTGTATGTGGGGGCAGGGTTAGACAGGGAATAATGGCACTTGTTCTGCTGTCTCTAGGATTTCGGTCCTCTCTGCTGCTTCCCACAAGAACATTGGGCCCTTCTGGTGCTGGTTCCCGGGTGGGTGGGCTTGTGTACATTCTAGGACCCTGTGGGTCTCTCCAACGAACTCTCCTGTGAGGCTGGGAGCCTCTCCTGGCACCTCAACCCCTGCAAGTTTTTTCAATCAGTGCTTTTAGGCCTTATTTCCTGGCCCTGGGGCCCTGGGTTGTGTAGTCTGTCTCACTGTCCATTTTTTTGCCCGGTTTATCTGTGTGTGAGTATGTGACCAAGGCGGTCAGCCAACCTCCTTGCGTGTGCCTTACTGGGTTTGCTTGTTTCCTCCCAGCGCCTGAGTCTGCCAACCACCAACCACCACTTTTTCCGGCTGCGACCCTTCTCCACAGGTTGCCGACTCTGCCCCTCTTGAATGGTTCTCCCCCCTCTTGAATGGGTTGTTGTCGGACTTCTGTACAGTTCAATTCTCAGTCTGTTCTGGTTGTGTTTTTGTTTCTAAATCTTTGTTGTCCTTAAATTTGGTTGTGGGAGGAGGCAATGTTTCCACCTACGCCTCCATCTTGGCTGGAACTACCTTTTCTGAACATTCCCACTGCCTTACTGAAGAATCTTATATTAATCTAGGCTGCTGTTATTTTGGTGTCTTCCTGCCTCTAGTTTCTCCTGACTCTAAGAAACTTTCCATACAAATCTTGTAAGGCAATTCAACTGCTGAAAAACCTTCAATGTACATTATTGCTTATAGTAAAATATTAAACATTTTCCCACAGGCAGAAAAGACCTCTCATAATCTAACCCACCCGATTGTCTCAGTCTCATTACCATGTCCTCTTATATAGCGTTAACAATAGCAACTATGGTCTGAATAATGGTTGCCAAACATATTGAATATTTGAATGCTGCTCTATCTTTCTTTACATGGCTCTTTTTGCCTTGCATCCCCTTTCCTAGTAAATGTCAACTCATCATTCCAGATCTATGTCACATCATCTCTGTTCCCATTATAGTTCACACAGATAATCACTATGTCTCTATCACGCAGCATTTAGTTATCTGTGTGTTTATCTCCATTGGAAATCTAAACAGAAGCTGGAGGCTGCATGTTTACATACCAGAGGATGTCAGGCAACAAGAGTTTGATAAATAAGTATATTAATATTATTTCACAGATCAGAAACATTATTGATGTTTAAAAAAACTTACACTATACATAGTGGTTAAGAACCATACTACATCTTCTGATCACCTCCCTATTCACCATTAACCAAATAACAGAAATCATGAACTGCTACCATTTTTTTAAGCTCTTGGTCATGTAAAAGCCTGAAGGATCCATTTTTTTTAAATAAAGCATTTTCCTTCTATCAGGTACATCTGTATGTCAGTGTTCTTTAATTAAAATCAGCCAGTTTCACAAGAGTCACCAAAATTAAAAAACAAAACAAAACAAAGGCACACTTCTCTCTTGGAAGGTGTGCATCCCACCACAATCTTCCAAAGAGAGTTACTAATTTCAAAATGATCCACCCTTGTGACAGTGAGAGCAAAGAACTACCTGGTATTATCAGGGATCTGGAAAGCTGCTTTTTAGGCAGAGAGAATTGTGTGGAACAGGTAGACTGTATGGAACAGGTAGACTGCATGGAATTTGGAAAAAAAAAACCTCCAAAAGACTGGGAACTGGTAAAAAAAAAGGAGAATATGGAGAGAATTCATAGGAGATAAAAGAAAATTACAGAAGGCTGATAAGGATTCAAAAAAGATTTACAAACCAAAACTACTAGCTTTGTATGAGAAAAAATATTATAACCCAAAGCACATTACATTTCTAAATCTAACTCTCAGTTTGTAGAAAACAGGAGACAGAAAAACATGCTGGACAACAGCACAATGATTTCATAGCAAAATCCAGTATGTAGAAATTTCTACAGGACAAATAAGTTTCTTCAATAAAGAATCACAAAGGAAAACAGAAGGGATTAAAAGATAGTTAACAGACATGTCACCCAAATGCTATGTGTGGATCTTGCATGAATTCTGATTTCAAAAATCTAATTCTGACACAGAGAGAGACAGACAGGAAAAGACAACTGGGGATATTTAAGAACTGACTGGATATGTGATACTAAAATAAAATAACTGTCATTTTCAGTAGGGTTATGTATTTTTAAAAAGACCAAGTCTTTTAGAGATACATATGAAAAAATTTTTAAAGTGAAATAAAAGACATCTGGGATTTGCTTCAGAATAATCTATAAGGGTGGGGATAACCATGAGTAAACCATTGTTAAAACTGTATGGTGGTTATAAGAAGGTTCATTGTACAATGCTTTTTACTTATATAATGTTTCAAATTCTCCATAATAAAGAATATAAAACAAAAAAATATTACTTGTCATGCTTATTTGACTCATATTAAATCTTTGATTCACTTAGGTTTAAAGGTCTTCTTTCAATCAAACTAAGTATTTTTCAACTAAACATTTATCAAAAACCCCTTTTCACTCTGGAACTCTAAGTTGGTGCCTATTAAACCTAAATAAACCCAGGAGGTTTTCTTTCCTTACCTTGTCAGATAATTCATTTTCTACATCTTTCTTGATTCTCCTCAGCATAAATGGCTTCAAAATCATGTGTAAGCGAGAGAGTTGATCTGAAATGCCAGGAGCACGCCCCCCATAAGTAATGCATTATATTGATTTAACACAAACAAAAGTCAAAAACATCTCTCATTAAGCTGTTTTTCAACACCTTTTGGCTTAGTGATTCTCTGAAAGATGACTCAAACAATATTTTTTCCCAAATAGGAAACCAAGGAGTCTGAATTTTCCATAGCATCTTCCTATAGTCAGCTGGGAAAATGCATTTTTTTCTCACTTAGACCATCAAGGACCACCTTATTTTTATTAGAATTAACCTTTAGAGTGTTTAAGGAACATTTTGACCCATATTAGGTTTCTCAGGTAGGTCTAATGCAAGCTGTGTCTCTCAGTGTTCCCCCAAACTCATTTTTTCAAAGTGTGTCCGCAAGTAGCAACTTGTATGTGTAAGAAATTACCTACAAAGTTTTTTCTTTTCTTTTTTAAAGAAGAATATGTGAGGTAACAAAGGACTTCTTTTCTTTCTTCTTCTTTTTTTTTTATTAAAGAGAGGGAGAGAAACATCAATGTGTGGTTGCCCTTCATGTGTCCCCAACTGGGGACCTGGCCCACAACCTAGGCACGTGCCCTGACTGGGAATCAAACTGGCAACCCTTTGGTTCGCAGGCTGGCACTCTGTACACTGAGCCACAGCAGCTAGGGTTCATTCCACAAATAAAATAAATGCGATAGGAATTTTCCAGGATCTGTATGAAAAATGTGTAATTATGAGGAGTCTATAAGCCAAAATATGGTACTTTATGACTCTGCCTGTTCTGCCTTGATTAGCCAACAATACAGCACTATAACCTGAATTAGTCTTTTTTTCACTTTACATATAAACAAAGCACATAATTATTTTATAAGAGGATAAGACAGCTCCCATCCCGATTCTTCTAAGTATACTAGAAGAAAAATTCTTTACAGAGAAAGAAACATACAATTATGTGGTTGCCTATACTGATACATAGAAGCAAGTTCATAAAATTACTCACTCTCATCAATGGCGGATTTGTTTTCGGCATGGCTCTCAATGTCCTTGGAAAACCATTCATTGAATTCCTCATGTGAATCAAATAATGTTGGCATAATGAAATGCAGCAGAGCCCAGAGCTGGAAACAAAAGAAAAGTGAAAGAGCTGTAGGGTAACAAAATCACAGTCTGTGAGGCTATGATGAAGGTTTGGAGAGAAGGAAAGTTGCAGGTATGTGTGTTCATCTGTGTCTTGGTGCATGGGTATGTGTGAGTTAATGAGAGAGGTTGAAACTGTGTCGGCACATGCCTCATCAACCAACCTTAATTCTTTTAAGGTGCTACAGCGAAATGTAGTTATTTTTCAATTAATTTCAAACTGAAAGTCTGAAGTACAAGTTCAGGTTTGGTGGTGGGATAGTTTTAAAGATCTTACATATATTAAAAAATCCACTCCATAATTGCATACAATTTGAGGTAGTGTAACTTGCTAATAATAAACTTAGATCAGGGGCTCAGCAAATTATAATCTGTAGTGCCAAGTATGATCTATTTTTTTAAAAGATTTTATTTATTTATTTTTATGGAGGGGAAAGGAGGGAAAAAGAGAGGAATTCAGAGAAACATCAATTTGTGGTTGCCTCTTGTGCATCCCCTGCTGGGAACCTGGCTGCAACCCAGGCATGTGCCCTAGACCTGGAATTGAACCAGAGACCCTTTGGTTTTCAGACCAGCACTCAGTCCACTGAGCCATACCAGCAAGGGCTTACATCTATTTTTACAAAAAAAGTTTTACTGGAACATAGCCAACTTATTCATTTATGTATCATCTATGGCTGCTTTCACACTACAGTAGCAAGATTAAATAGTTGTGACAGTGACTGTATGGCCTGTAAAGTCTGAAGTATTTACTATCTGGCTCTCTCCCTTTTAAAAATTCACTTACTCACTCACTCATTCACTCACTGTCTGGCTCTTCACAGAAAGTTTTCTGACCCCTGTTGTAGATGGTCGCTATAGAAAAAAATCTTAGCTTCTCAGTGTTAAAGAGTGCTGCCCTTTCATTCTAGCATAAAAACATCTCTGCACTGGATGGGTGATAATCCTAATGTGGTCACAATTTATCAGATAAATACAATGAAATAAAGTAATTTATTTGCTTTTTGCCAGATAATAAGGAAAAACAGAAACCATGCCCAAAATCCCAGTTAGAACAAGCTATGTTCAAATTCTGCCTTTTACATGGGGGTTATAATAATATGTACAGAGCATTAACACTACAAGTTGGCATGTGTAAAGAATTCCATTCTGTGCTGAAACCACTCTATTTAATGCAGACGTAGAAATGAAACTTCTACTAGAGCTTACCTCTGCCATGGTGTTCTGAATGGGGGTCCCAGTTAGCAAAAGCCGATTCCGACACTGGAACTGCAAGAGAATCTTCCAACGAACACTGTCCAATAAGATGAATTACAAATTCCAAGTTAGCAGTAAATCTTTCTCCATACTACCAAGTCCCCAGAGTTCTAAAAATGCTTTAAAAAAAAAACCCCAAACACTCAGAATCAAGTATCCATCATGTACACAACCGGAAAATATTATTCAAAGCTGAAGATAGAAAATTTAAGAGAACCTGAATATTCTATACTGAAAATATGGCATTAGGGTTTAGGGAAAAAAAGCCCACAAACAGGCAGAGTAGGATCTTTTCTGGTTTTGATAAAGTCCTCTTCATGGTGACACAAAACCATTCCATGATAAGGCATTTATCTGTAATAGGAAACTTAAAAATGATTAGTTTGTGTATTTCCAGTGAGTTTGGAGGGAGCAATGAAGAAAGGGGAAGCATGTGAAAAGAAAATGCGAAGAAAGTCTATGGTTATGGGCCTATCCTACTTTGAAAGAATGTAGTATGAAGTAATGCCCTTTGGATTATGGAAAGCTCCATGGAAAATGTTATTCTGCCAGATAACTCGGACCTTTAAGAAAGTCCTATACACTCACCAACAGTTAGTACAAATGCTTCAAACCCAAGGTTTAATACTAGAGAGTAACACTTTATATCCAAGCACTCATTTACTATTCATTTTGGGACCTGAAAGGTGTTAAGAGTATTTTAAACATATAATTTTCAATAAAAGGATTCTTCAGGACATCTAACAACCATCCAGGGACTAAAACAACTTGCATAAAACAGAACCTACAATCCACATAATGTAACATTCTACTTCCTATTAAGACCTCCTGTCTGAAATAATCTCTCAAGGATAGGCAGGTGCCCCTTCCTCCAAAGAAATTTTCCCTGAAGAACAAAGATCTGTTAAAATGTCATAATTATTATTATTGAATAAGGAGATAGAAGCTGAGAAAAATCCTTGTATTCTCAACACTAATATTTATGTTCCATGAAAAATGCAAAAGGGAATTTCTGACTTCTGGTTGGATATATGCTTTATGGAAAGAACATCTATCTGACCAGAAGTCAAATACAGGCCATGTTCTGAAATCTCTCTAATCTTTATTTTTGCATGTATGATATCACACAGATACAGCTGACCATTGAACAACATGGGTTTGAACTGCCAGGGTCCAGTAACATGTGAATTTTTTTCAATAAATACAGTAAACGTATTTTCTCTTCCTGATGATTTTCTTAATAACATTTATTTTTCTCTAGCTTACTTTATTATAAGGATACAGTATATAATGTGTTACAAAATATAAAATATTTCAATGGATTATGTATTTATATACATATTAGACATTTATAAAATATTAACAGATATACAAAATATGTGTTGACTGTTTATGTTAACAGAAAGACTTCCAGTCAACAGAAGGTTATTAGTATTTAAGTGTTTGGAGAGGGAAAAGTTATATATGGACTTCCAACTGCAGGGAGCTGGAGCAGGGGGGTGGGAGTAGGTAGCAGCCTTAACTACCACGTTCTTCAAGTGTCAACTATATACTATACATCTCAGTCCATGGGGTTTGGTTTCTACTACTCATGTTACCTGGAACTACTCTTGAGCGCCTGAGCCTCGTCCAATACCATGTACTGCCACTTGACCCGCTGGAAATACTTTACATCCTGCACCACCAGCTGGTAGCTGGTGATAACCACGTGGAAGGGGGCATCCTGAGTGTAAAGTGTCTTCTGTAAATAGAAGGAGGGAAACAGTGAAAAGATATACCTAACAATTCATAATACGATAAGGAGGAATAGGCTGTATCTTGTAAGTCTTTTCATACAGACTGTATTTTATAAGTTTATGATGACAGCCCTAAAGGTGTGCTTTTCCCATGTGAGAGGTGTACAGTGAATTAAAACACGACTGTCTAAAGTAGTCACCTTAATCACAAATCATGTTAAAAACTAGTATTCAGGTTAATAAAGAAAAAAGTTTTTATTTAATCCTGGACTTCAAATCCAGATGATTGTCTATAACAGGAAAAACACTGTAATACTGTAAAAAAAATATGTGTACTTGCCTAATGCCCAGAAATACATAAGATTTTATACATGAGTAATCACTGATGTCAACTGAACAAATGATGACTGCATAGGTATGTGTGTGCACATGTATATATGTACTCAGGAAGCCAAAAGTTACCTGACTCCAGAACCTCCTTATGACTTTTCTATCATGAGGATTTCCCCAATATGGTAGCACCTGGAAAAAGGACCAATATAGAGATTATTTCATACTGAAAATCTTAAAAGTATCATCACAAATATATTAATTAGAACGATTTTAAAAGAACCTAAAACAAAATAAATATTGGAGTTCCTCCAAGGTCACTGCCAGATTAGGTGCTCAACTAGCACTCCTCCTGCTGACCAAATGAAAAACTCATATACAAAACATCGGTTTGAAGGTACCAGAGAGATAAGCTTCTGAGGCAGTGGAGAATTAGAGAGCCAAGATCCAGAAAAGAAGCCCAGAGAGGAAATCTTGGCACTTGGTACGTGTTCCCCCTTCCCAAAAATTCTAGTTTGAGAGACTATGAAACTGAGCAGAGGTTTTTTTGTTTGTTTGTTTTAAAAAGAAGATACAGGGCCCACAGAACAAAAACTGTAGTTCAAGGAGGGCAGATTCTAATAAACACCAACCTCTCTGACTTTAAGTAATATAAAGGTAAACTATACAGACTTGCCTTAATAGACAAACTCATCATTCAGTTATTTGTAGGAAATTGGTTCTAGGCCCCTTGAAGATACCAAAACCTATGGATGTTCCGTTCAAGTCCCTCATGTAAAATGGCACATATAACCTACACATACCTTCCTGTTTACCTGAGATCATCCCTAGATTATTTATAATACCTAATATAAATGCTATGTAAGTAGTTTTATACTGTATTGTTAAGGGAATAATGAAAACAGTCTATACATGTTCAGTACAGACATGACTGTAGGTCTAACTACACAGTGTGTATCAGCAACGACACAACTTTTCCCCAAAAGCATTTTTTTGGTTCATGATTGTTTGAATGCCTGGTGAGAAACCCTCAGATATGCAGATAGAAAAACACGTTTACTAAGTGTACAGAATTTCAGCTTCAAATCATCTCAGTTTCTGACCAGATTAAAGGTACTTTAGATTATTAGTGCCCCAGAAAAAAAATTACTGGTGGCAAGAAGACAAAATGAAACCTAAAACATAGAAATTCTCTCTGGAAGAAGAAAACATTACCTACAATGCAAAAATATCTCTAGAATTTTCCTCAATGTCTTGCATATAACTAAAAAAAAACAAACAAACAAAAACAAAAAACAAACCAAACCCCCCCCCAACAGAAGGAAAGACCAGATCACTTAATTGAAAAACAACATGAGAAACTGAAAAGCCACAAGAAATTCATACATAAACATATCAGAATAAGACTTTTAAAAGAATTCAGTAACAGATAAGATACAGCTAAAGAGAAAATTAGTGAAGTAGATGACAAGTAAGGAGAAAATATCCAGACTAAAGCATGGAAAAAACAAAAGAATGCAAAACTCGGCATTATTTCTGTGATGCTTCTAGGGGCAGCTTGCTTTCTTCTTATCTGTATTAGGTTCAAGTGCTTCTTGAATTAGTAGCTTGATGTCTTTTGTTGTTTTCAGAAATCTCAGCCAGATGGAAGCACAAACATGCAGAAAGTAGTGAAGATGTGTGAAAATAACATGTAATATGAATAAATCTAAATAAATTAAAAATATATAGGTAATAAAATGTCTTACGGGGTTTAAAATAGAAAAATGTCACTTTTTAAAAAGTCAGTGATACATGTATTCTCCTAGGTATCTACTGAAGAAAATGAATATATAATTAGCAAGCTAAGAGGGGAAGGAAAAAAAAGTAATAAAATCTAATCAATGCAAAAAGACCCAAAAAAGGAGAGAAAAAGGAAAGTTGAACATGTAAAACAATTAGAGAGCAAAAAGCAAGGCAGGTGATTTAAATTAAATATATTACCAATAACATGAAAAGTAAGCATAAATATTCCAAATAAAAAGCAAAGATGGAGAATGGTTAAAAGTAAAAGAAAAGCATACCATGTAAAAACTAACCAAAGAAAGTTAATCTATTTAATATCAGAGAATATAGGTTTTAAGGTAAAAAGTCTTTTTAAAAAAGACTATTTATTTTTAGAGAGAGGGGACGGGAAGGAGAAAGAGAGGGAGAGGGAATCAATGTATGGTTGCCTCTCACACAGCTCCTTCTGGGGACCTGGCCTGCAACCCAGACATGTGCCCTGACTGGGATTCAAACCAGCAACCCTTTGGTACACAGACCAGCACTCAATCCACTCAGCCACATTGGCCATGGTGAAGGTAAAAAGTCTTAAAGCGGGACATTTCATAATAAAAGGTTCAATGCATTAAAAATATGAACTAATTAAAAATTTGTACATATATCGCAAGCCTCAAAATACATAAAGCAAAAATGGATATATCCAAAATTGTGAAAAATTTTAACACACCTTTTTCAGTCAGTAATAAGGCAGGCAGACAAAAAAAATCAGTAGATAGAAAAGTGCTGGACAAGTTAACAGAACTGACCTTAATCAACGTATATGTAACACTACATTTAACAACAGTAGAATACATGTTATTTTCAATCACACACAGGACATTTATATAAACTGGGCCATAAAAGCAATGTTTAACAAATTTCAAAAGAATAAAATCATAAAAAGCATGTTCCTTATCCCAGTGGACTTAAGCTATAAATTAATCACGAAAAGTTACCTAGAAAACCATCCTTGTTTGGAAATTAAGAACCACACTTTTAAATAATGCATATGAATTTACAGTAGGAACTAGACATTATTTTGAATTAAAAGATGATGAAAATGTGACCCATCAAATCTTTGGTTGACTATAGTCATACTTAGAGAGCAATTAATACCCTTAAATTAGGAAAGGCTGAAAATCAACCACCTAAGCGCCATCTCAAAATGTTAAAAAAATTTGAAAGTTTATTAAAACAAGTAGACAAGAATAATAAAAGAGCATAAATAAATGAAATAGAAAACATACAATAGCCAATTTCAGGGATGAAAAATGGTATGCTAACTAAAAAATTAAAAATCATATTTCATGGGAAAAGGGAGAAAGTTAGAAGCATTGATCATACTAGAACCATAAAACAAGTATTACTCAGATACTTGCCAAATAAAATAAGCTTTCAGATGTTATCATCACAGATGTAATCTAAAAAAACATTCCTTTTAGTTTGTAGATCAGCACTCAATCCACTGCGCCATACCAGCCAGGGCCAAATGTAATCTAATTATAAACCTGAGCAGAGTCTACACCTATGTTCTGTAGGGAAGTGAACACATTTCTGACAACCTGAAGGAGCAACGGCAATAGAAACAATGACTCAAAAGAGAAGAGGTCATCAGAACTTTTCTAAATACAGCCAGATAAGTATTTCTGCTTTGCAGGACATACTGTCTCTGTCACAAATAACTCTGCTGTTGTAGTGAGAATTCAGTCAGAAATAATACATAAACAAAAGAACATAACTGTCTTCCAATATGTATTACTTAAATGTCATACATCATTTGTTGTGAAGCATTTTCAATCATTTAAAACTGTAAAAATAATTATTAGCATGCAAAACAAACAAACAAAAAAAAAACAGGTGGCACAGTCCTCAATAACTTAAATATAGACTGACTCAGCAATTCCACTCCTAAGTATATATTCCAAAGAACTGAAAAAACAAAGAGGTGTTCACACAAAAACCTGTACACGAATATTCACAGCAGTGCTATTAATAGCCAAAAGGTAAAAACAACCCAATTATCAATCAATACATGCATAAACAAAATATAGTATACCCAGATAATAAAAAAATTATTCAGTCATAAGAAGGAATGAAGTACTGATATATCCTGTAACACTTATGAACTTTGAAAACATTATGCAAAAGAAAAGGCCAAACATAAAAGTCTTTATATTTTATGATTCCAGTTATAAATATTCAGAATAAGTAAATCCATGGAGACAGAAAGATTTGTGGTAGCCAGGGAAAGGAGAATTAAGGAGTAACTGCTTAACTGGTAGAAGGTTTCTGCTTGGGACGATGAAACAATTCTGCAACCAGATTATCAGAGATCACTGCACCACATTGTAAATGTACTTAATGCTACTTCATTGTACACTTTAAATTGGTACATATGTGTATTTTATCACAATTTTTAAAAACTGAGACAAACAACTGGCAACTGGAATTGGCCCAAAGGCCATATTTTACTGACCTGTAAACTACAGAATCAAAAGGAAGCTCAACATGCAAATGAAAGCTCAGTTTCATGGACAGGTATAAAGTCAAAGGAGCAGTAACAATGACATTATAATAATACTACATTGCCATCCATAGGTCAATGAAGGAAATACTGAAAAATTAAGTGGTTTGATAAAAATTTTAAGACTTAATTTCTAACCTCCTGATTGTTCAGCATGTACTGAACACCACTACCACCACTAACAAAAGCAGAAAAAATGATGGGGACAGCTCCATATTTTTTATATGTTAAACTCTATAAAAAATATTCAACAAATTGCTTTAGTTGATCTCATCTTCTTAGAGAGTTAAAAATGAGTCAGTCAAGTTAAAAGCTATACATCTAATGTGTTTTGTGAAGTTTCTAAATTTATAACTCATCACAAGGATGGGGCCACAGCCATAAAGGTTTCCCAAAGTAGAATATCCCTGATATGTCCTGATTCCTTACAAAGCATATGAAAGAAAAATACCTGCTGCCCATCTCCACCCTATCTTATGTACCCTTTAAACTGCAGGGAACCTATGGTTATTATAGAGACCCAAAATCAGAGACATCATGTCAGCATCTCTTCATACATAATCTCCATAAAATCCTCCTTGCCATGCAACTTCATTATCATTAAACCCTTAGGGACAGAACACACATTATTAACTCCCTTCCCCTACTATACTTGCAAACAATATAATTAAATCCTACCCATCGTCTTATATTCTGACAACTCTCCATGATTACACCCATTTAAGTCTTGACCATGCAACATGCTTCCCTACTGTTTAATTCTTACCTCAATCTCAATTCTTTTCCTCTGAGTTAGTTAAAATCAAATTTCACATGATCTACCTTAGATATTACCTTATCTACTTTAGTCCTAATCTAGACTAAGGCTAAAGATCTAGCTTTGGAGGATCAAGAAAATGAATAATTTATGAATGTGCTGAGGGCGAGGGAAACAACAACAACATTACATATGACAGGATGTGTGCCTTGATGATAATTTGCCAAAAATCTATATTAAACCAGCAAGGTAGATATTTTCTATTATTGTAGTTTGACCAAGTGTGTCAATTCACACGGCCAGTGTAGCAAACCACACAAATTGGACTTTGGATTTCTCACTTATGATGCATAAAAATGTAATATACTCTCTTACTGCTCCCATTGTAACTTTTATAGAAAATGTGAGCAAAAATTAAAAATTATTATGAGCAATTAAATAGGAAAGGTAGCAAAAAAGTCAAAATTTATTTTAAGGAAGAACAGAACTTTTTGTTGGATTTTTACCTTGAATTTAGGAACAAATCTGGTAAACTCCTGATGCCAATTATTAAGTGTGGAAGCAGGTGAAATTATTAAGAAAGGTCCCCAAATGTTCTCTCTCTGAAACAGAAAAACTGGGTTAGCCAACTGGAGGAAAACTGCAGGTATTAAATTCAAAATTATAATTAACAAGAGTAGTTTAAGAATAGGAAGTACACTGTAACAAGAGAAACAGTGGGAAGGAAGTTGCTCATACTCACCTTAAGGAAAAAGTAGCAAGCAATTACTGCTACCCCGCCTTTACCTTTTATAGGTCTTAATTTATATCATTCACAAAGCACTTAGAACATACTGACTTGCGTGTATTGCTTTCCCCTATACTAGATAATCATAATAATTTCACTATTATCTAATGGGTATAAAGCTTTTGCTTTTTTCAAAAGGCTCATTTAATTCTCACAAAATCCCTAACAAGGAATTTTGCAGAAGTGGAAACAACCTCAGAGGAGTTAAAGTCAGGTCAAAGAAGTTACATGAATTGCCCGTTTACACTGCTACTAACTGTGGAGATGGCATGTGAACTCAGGTCCTCTGATTTAACCACACATTGTCTTTGTCACCACACTGGTAGTTCTCAACGGGGGAAGGAGGTGGTGGGAAGGTTTCTAAACCACACATGCTCAAAACTGCCCTAGTCTTGAAAACTCAGTGTTTCACTACATTATGTCACTCTGTAAAGGTCCCGAAGGCAAGGAGCAAGTCCCACTGTCTTGGTATGCTATAGAGCCTAACACAGTGCTTGATAATGGCTGATTTTCAATAGAAAATGACGCTAAAACCTAGAGAGAGAGTAGAAAGATAGCATCACCCACCTCAGCCAGATGGGCCAGAAGGGCAATGCTCTGTACCGTTTTACCAAGGCCCATTTCATCTGCAAGAATACCATTAATACCCTAGGGGAAAAAAAAACACAGACAGACAGTTAACACCTCTCACATTCCACCAGATAGGGTTCAACCCACTGCCTAAAAGAACAAAAATTTTAAACTTGTTCAAACAAAAGTGACTAGAGATACCCAGCTTCAACACTTTATCCACTACTATAATCATTCCTTTTGCCAACTCTATAGCTACAACCGTGAATCATGAAGCCAGTTTCACTGTTAATATAATCCAAGCACAAAAGCAAACAATCAGGCTTACCAAAACCACCTAAGACAAACTATATATGTGATACAAATGTTCCCCAACAAAATCTCCAGGTTAAAAATATGGAGACATCTTTCTGACTCTTGTCAAAGGATAAAGCTTTTTAATAGGGAAGAAATATGATTCATTATCTTGTGCTCATTTCACAATACACTGAACTAATGACTTTAGGACAACAGGTAACAAACAAAAGAGAATGTGTATAACAGTTCTAAAATTTACCTGTTCATAGAGATTTGCCAACCAATTCATGCCTTTCAGCTGATAACCTTTTAATTTGCCATTAAAAATTGTGGGCTGTGGAATATCCTCACCAGCCCGGATAGATGGATTGGCCAGGCTGTAACTCTCCCCAAACCCACTGCCAGATTTGTTTGCTGCCCGCAGGGCAGCTGCCCGACTTTCTTTTGCATCTTCATCAAATGATCTTGTCTGGAAAAAAATAGTATATAATGTAAAATAATATATCCTGTTATATATAAAGCATAATATGTTAAAAGTATATTAATAATATTTTTAAATCAATTTAACAATTATATAAAATGTTTTGGTGGACAGACACTAAGCCTTATATATGATTACTTGCTTCATCAACAAATTTATTCAAGTTTTGATATAAAATTTGACTAGCTGAGATTGGTGGAAATAAGATTGAGTTTATGTCTATCCTTGACTTGTATTCTATTAAAGTTATATATTGGTTCCTATGCAGGGTCTTTACTTAATTCAATCTAACTGCAATTTTTTTCTGGTTTCATTATGTATCACTGTATCATAAATAAGCAATTTTTTAAATCCTCACCCAAGGACATTTGCATTTGCTTTTTTGGAGAGAGAGAAATATTGATGCAAGGGAAGCATCGATTGGTTGTCTTTGGTATCCATGATAGGACTGGGAATGAACCCAGCATGAACCCAGAACTTAGTTAGGCATATGCCTGACTGGGAAATGAACCTGGCAACCTTTTGGTTATGGACAACTCTCCAACCAGTAAAACGCCCATTATTACTGAAGTGAAAGAAGGTACTGACTTAGCAGTTCTTGTTTTTCTTTTAAATCATTACCCAATGATATGTTTTCTTAATTTCAGAGCATGAGGAAGGGACAGAGAGAAACACTAATGTGAGAGAGAAACATCGATCAGCTACCTCCTGTATGCACCCCAGATTGAACCCACAACTATTTGGTGCATGGAACCAACCAACTGAGCCACCCAGCCAAGGATTAGCATTTTCTCACTGCAAGACAGCTTTAACAAGCAAGAATGTGGTCTTTTTGTTAAATAACCAAGATACATTTCTGACTGTGTTTCCCATGACTACCCAAGTGGAAAAAAAAAAAAAAACCCACAGGGAAAATGAGCAATCAAATGAATGCTCATTTCACACCTTTCCTCAAGCACCTACACACAAACACATTCTCCAATGTTTTTTTTTTTTAAATCCTCACCCAAGGGTATTATCATTTACTTTTGAGGAGGAGGTAAAGAGAGGGAAAGATAGAGGAATGGAGGGATGGAGGGATGGAGGGAGAGAGAGAGAGATTGAGAGAGAGAGAGAAACAGAAAAGATTGGTTGCCTTTGTAAGCACCCAGAGACTGGGGAACCAAGCCGGGACTAGAGGTCTACATGGGGACTAGAGGTCTATGCTTCTGCACCCAGATCAAGGATGAATACACAACCTAGGCATGTGCCCCAATCAGAAATTAAATCTGCAACCTTTTGGTTACAGGACAATGCTCCAACCACTGACCCACAATGCCAGAGGCCACCCATGTTTTTAACTGAAAATATGATTAAGATAGAAGGAAGACCACCCAAGTAAAAGGCTATAGATTATTTCCAGGGCACGTTAGTTTATCTTTTCATTTTTAAGACTCACCCGAGCTTGATGAATATGGTAAGCATTTTCAGCATTCTTCAGGGCCTGGGCTTTGAAATGGTTACTATCTGAAAAGCAAAACTTACAGATTATCCACCTCATTAACTGATCTCATTCGAAGATGCAATTCACATCTACATGTTCGTGTCCCTGACTCCCCAGTTCTATTTATCCCTAGGTTCACGGAGGATGAGAGCAGAATGGCTCAAATTACTTGACTGAGGTAAGGGCCTGGAAGTGGCAATGGAGGCAGAGGGCTGCCATGCACTCCAATAAACCAAAGCCAGCTCACAAATACCACCAGGAGACTTGAGCTCCAGCTTCCAGATCCTGGGTTTCTTGCATGAAGCAATGCCAAAGCCATGAAAGCAAGACGACGAGGATTCAAAATTGTGATATATTTCTCCCAGGTGAAATTATTCCAAAGGCAGAAATACAGACACGTGTGACCCCCAAGATACCCTGAAGCACCCCCACTCTTTTATTCTTAGCTCAAAATGACCTTGATCATTACTCCCTGTGAAATTTCTCTCAAACTTCATCCCAATTTCTCCGCCTCTTGTGGTCACAAAAATACCAAAACTGATCAGTCTCTTACTCATGCCTGACTTGTATCAACAACAACCTTGTTATGGGAGAGATGATTTTTCTCTCCTGAGATATATTATATTCTCTGAATTCTTCTGATTTAATACCTCTATTTCTACTAACAAATAAAAACATATAAAATACTCCCAAACTTATAAGATCATATAACCTTTCCTTTTCAAATTCTTCAGTAAAAGTTATTTTATATGCTTGTTTATAGAAACATGCACATTTCCCTTCTCCAGTACAATAAATTCCCCTTTACTGATTAATATCACCTATCGGTCAAGACAAAAGTTGGCAAAAATTAATGTGTACTTGATATGAAAAATGGACAGTACCCACTTCCTGTAACTCCTGAATTTACGACTCACCGTAATCCTCCTGTGTGATGTTAACTACCACCCCTCCACCAATGTCAATCTGTCTCTGGGTAGAACTGTCTTCTAGTTTCCTTAGGATTTCTTCCTGGATCCCATCATGACCCATGTCTCGTTTGCGACTCATAAAATGGGCATACAACTCTGTCTGGGTAATTAGGAAGTTCAGTTTTCGCTGTTGCCTCTTGGCCTACACAGGAAAAAAGTTGAAGTGAAAATAGAGTCACATCATTAATCACATACAGGAGGTAGTCAACAGAATTCACCAAACCTATATAGTTTGCATATACTTCCTTTATAAATTCTTTACCCTCAGAAAGGTAAAAACTGCTAATAAACAATTTTATAATAGCCAAGTCAGTGGTACTAAAAGCAAATAATAACTTTCACTTATAGTCTAATAACCTGTTTTACTCTCTTTTATAATATGAAATCTTTTCTTCATTAGGCTTTCTGTCCAAACTGTTTATTTCTTTATTATATTACTTTTCTATAGTGGTACTGAGACACCAACTAAATTTAAACTACATATTTTATTTCATAACCTGGATGGTAGATACATTTGTGTAGCTTCATTATTTTAAAAAATGTAAACATGTCAAAAGCTCTTCTTTATCTAGCATCAAAATTCAAAGTAAGTAATGAGGAGCTATAAATTATTCTATTATAAGTCAGCATGAAGGTATCTGAGGGTAAGAAGCCAATCAAAGGTAGAAAAATGCTCCCTCAATTTACAGCTTATTTGTGATAATGATAGTTACAAAACATGAAAATAGACCAAAGACATACTTTATTTAAATGTGAAAAAAATAAAATCAAAGTGCCTCTGAAGTAACCTGGTAAGGAAAATAATCATTGTGTTAATACATAAAATCATTCATCAAAATAAACAATAAAATGAGTACAAAAATACCCTAAAGACCAAAACATATGGAATATAGTACACGCAGTAAGTATAAAATTAAATAGTCACTACCTTTCATTAACTATTTTATAATAAAATTCCTATGAAGTGTATTTGATTTATTGCTAGATTTACCTCTCCAAAAGAAAACCAATAATATAAGGAACAAAGCCAAGAAAAGACACCAGTCCCAGCATATGTTACAAAAAACTATTCTTTTTTGGGGGTGTGAAGGTGGGGGAGTGGGGACTGTTTATGGCACTTGAGCCAGATTCAAATCTGCAAGAAAATCTGAGAGTGTGAGAAACATTGAGATTTTTTTCGTAACTGACACAAATGCTCATGTTCCAAAGCTAAAGTACACTCAAGATTGTACACTCAAGAATTTACCTTGTTGTTCTAAAACAAGGTAAATTAAAGGAACAATAAAGACCCATCAAAAATAGTTTCATCTCAAAAGTTTAGAGAGACACACACAAGTTAACATAACCATAGATGAAACTGTCACCAGTTTAGCTATCAACATAATTAAGAGAATGTCTCACAAACCCAGACCATAGACCAAGCTGCAGTAAAACTTCAAGATCTGTGACTCTTAAATGTCTCTAAACTCACTAACTATTCCTGATAGCATCAGATGTCTACTAACTCGATAATACATTTATCTTGCATGCAAAGATACGAGTTACCTAGGGGACTTAGGAGAACTGGACAAACTCCGTATTCATTCTCAAAGGCATGATAAAAGAGAGAAGATCAAAGCTTAGGAGAAGTCCCACATACAGCTCTGCTTTGGGAAGGGTACCACGTATACTGAAAGAAAACATCCAATCCTTCCAATTAATTCTTTCTCTAGAACTCAACTTTCCTTCCACTCATCCCGACTGGTTTACCAATGGGAATACAATAACTTTATCCTCTTATTCTCTCCTCCTGCTTCCCTTAACAATATATTCAACTTACATCAGCTGACATCAGACTTAGCTAGAGTACAAGCTGCAGGTTTAAACAGCAAAGTAGGTCAGGGTTGGATCTCAGAAAACTGGGCTAGTTGTCCATTGTCCCTATCTGGCCGTAATTTTGGCAACCAGCTCTGATCTTCCAACAAATCAAAACTGAAGCCAGCGCCTGGAATAAAGCCAAGGTAAGCTTTAAGCTGTTTTACTTTCAATCACTTTTCTTTTTTCGTCCTCTAGAAATACACAAAGAAATAGGCTGAAAAGAATAAAAATTAGCATAGAAGAAAAGAGGTGTAGGCCAGGGAGAGAACCTTATTAAATGAGTAAGACAAAATTGGTTTACTAAACTAAAATCGCCATCCTCAAAGTTATGTCTTAAAACATTTTTACATAATTTCATTGTTAGGTTTATAATTTATATGAAGTTCAAACCAATCTCTTGGTATGGCTGCAGCAATTAGGGTTTTCGAAATTTTATGCTATTGTCCTACCTCCCGCATTTCCTCATCCAACTTCCGTTGCTCTAAGGCTTCCTTCTCAGCACGCTTACGATGCTCCTTCTCTACCTTCTCATACTTTTTCCAGTATAGAAGCATCTCCTTGGTAAGGCGGCGGGCACGAGGCAAGGTCTCCTTACAGTTCTTCTGGGCCTGCAAGGCAGCTCGACGCACCTCCTTCATGCACTGGTGGGCGAGCTGCAGACGACAATGTTATTACAAGGGAGGACCTGACACCAGGACCAGTGCTCCCTGGGCATTCCTCATTCTGTTCAGTGCACACACTCCTCCTATGGCCACATCTCTTTCTCTCCCAATCTGATTAACATCCCCAAACAGTACTATGGTCCAGTCTCAGACCCCAAGGTAATATCAGGGATGAGAAATCTGTAGACATAATGCTTTAGAACATTAAAAAAAAAGTATAACGGTCTGAGATGTGTTAGGAAGTTACAAAACGTGATCACACACAATAGCTATCAATGCCTACTATATGCTAAGCACCATTCTAAAGTTAATACATATTAAGCTAATTTATTCTTCACAAAACCCTATGAAATTGTCATTATCATCATCCTCATTTTACAGAAGAGGAAACAAGATGAGTGACTAGACCAGGGAAATACAACCAGGAACATTACCTCATCTGAAACTTGCAACTCTCAAAGGAAGCTGTTAATCTCCTCTGAGGGAAAGTATTTAATGGAATCATTTCTTAGATGAAGGGCCTGAACCCAGAAGTTTCTGTGGTCTGCCTCTCAAAGAATGAGAATGGGCTATGATCTTATCATAAAAGGTGCACATACCAGAAATGGGAGGAAGAACAATTTTATTTATAAGATAGATTGAGAACACTTAGAAACTAAATCACGTTAGGTACTATTAGATTCATTAACAATAGATCACAAGAGACAGCAGCAAGCATGGATGCAAAGAACAAGAACACATTCCAGCAAAACATAAATGGAAAATATAAAACTGTAACTTTACCTTTCGGCTATTGGTGAGAAACAGGTTACGAGCTGAAGCTTTCTGCTTGTTGGCCTAAAATATTTTTAAAAAGTATATTTAGGATTCCTTTTTGAGAAGAGATTATTAACTAACTCTCTTTTATTCAACTTGAGGGTTAAAAAATAAAGTATCAAATGAAACATATTCGAGATCCATTACTGACTCAAAAACTACACATAAACTTCCTAAAGCAGCATTCAGAATAAGAAGCTAGTGCTGTCACTGCCTCAGAGTATTCTGTACCCTTTTGGAAAGAATTTAAGTTATATTTAAAGTTTGAGGTGGGCTAGGAAAACATAACATCATATTCTAACCCTAAAATACATGGCTTTCTTGGGCCGATCTGCAAAGATGCTGAGACAGCAGGGCACTCACATACAAAAATTGTTAGAAGAAAGGTAAACTAGCCCCCAGGTAAGGGATTCTAGCCCCACCTCCAGCCAGGCCAAATCTGCTGCCATCGTTACTCAATTTCTGCCACCACTTAAGCATCATCTTTTACAACTAAAAACTCTGAGGTAGACCTAACACGAGATGACTCAGCAATGCCCCCCCCCCGCCCCCCCTCCCGCAGCTGCTTATTGTGTTACTTAAGTTAAAAAATCTCAATTAAAAAAAAAAATTTCCCGGCATTTCTTTTGTCATGGGACTGAAGAGGCTGAGCTGAGTGGCTCTCTGACTGTTAAGCAGCTCTCCCCCTCATTCTGAAGAAACAATGGGTTCAAAGTTACAGAGGTCATGGAAGCCACTTCTATAATTTTCCCAACCTAGACTGTCTGCTTAAGGAAATTTTAAGGCATTTTAACAAAAACTTTCTCTTACAAATTCTTAAGCAGCTATTACCAATTTAAAGAAAATAATCTCAAATATTTCCATTGAATTCCTTACCATAGGAAGGACATCACCTGAAATCTCTTCACCAGGTACAAACCATGTTTCCTCATAACTTTTCCCATCAAGAATTCTCAGACATAAACTCTCCCCCCAGATATACTTGTAAATTTCCAGAGGAAAAAACTAGGGATTGTACGATAGAGAAGAACCACCATACCAAGGCATTAAAGCTGTTATCACCAATATTAGGACAGATGTGTCATGTGCCCTCTGATGTGATACAAAAGAAGGACATATGCCTCCCCTGGTAATCCTGCGAAAAATGTGTAATTCAAATCTAATCGTAAGGTAACATTATACAAATCCAAATTCAGAAACATTCTGCAAAATAAATGACCTATTTTCTTCAAAAATAACGTTGCCCTGGCTGGTGTGGCTCCTACCTGTGAACCAGGTCACAGGTTCTATTCCCAGCCAGAGAACCTGGGTTGCAGCCCAGGTTCCCGAGTTGAGGGTGCTCAAGAGGCAACCAACTGATGTATCTCTGGCACACTGATGTTTCTCTTCCTCTTTCTACCTCCCTTCCCCACTCTCTAAAAAGTAAATAAAAAAATAAAATCTTAAAAAAAAAGCCACAATGAGATACCACTTTACACCAGTCAGGATGGCTATCATAAACAAAGCAACAAACAACAAATGTTGGAGAGGGTGTGGGGAAAAGGGGACCCTAGTTCACTGTTGGTGGGATTGCAGGCTGGTACAACCACTATGGAAAACTGTATGGAATTTTCTCAGAAAAATAAAAATCGACCTGCCTTTTGACCCAGCAATTCCACTGCTAGGATTATATCCTAAGATTCTTAAAACATCAATTTCAAAGAACCTATGCACCCCAATGTTCATAGCAGCACAATTTACAATAGCCAAGAGTTGGAAGCAACCTAGGTGCCCATCAGTAAATGAATGGATCAAAAAATTGTGGTACATATACACAATGGAATTCTATGCAGCAGAGAGAAAGAAGGAGCTACTACCCTTTGCAACAACATGGATGGAACTGGAAAACATTATGCTGAGTAAAATAGGCCAGGTGTTGAAAGACAAATATCATATGATCTCACCTTTACCAGGAAGCTAAACAACAAACAAGCAAGCAGAATAAAAACAAAAGACACTGAAATAGAGAATACGGGGACAGTGACCAGAGGGGAGAGGGAAGGGAATTTAAAAGGAAAAAAGGGGAGGGATTTGGAGAAACAAATAGGAAGGACACAAGGATAAGAACTAAGGGGAGTGGAAATGGAAGGGAGGTGGGAAGCACAGGGTGGGTTGGGCTGGGATGGGAGAAATAGAAAACTGTACTTGAAAAATAAGTAAATAAAATAAAAAAAGAAAAAGGAAAAAAAAGCAATGTCATGAAAGACGAAGGCTGGGAAATTGTTTCAGATTAAAGGAGATAGAGACTTGAAAACTAAAATGCAATACCTACGTTCTAGATTGGATCATGGATTGAATCAGTAAAGAGAAGAAGCTATGTAAAGGATATTATTGAGTCAATGATGAAATTTAAATATGGTCTGTGGATCATTTTTGTAACTGCACTGTGATTACATGTGACAAGATGTCCTTTTTCTTAGGAAATCATTGAACTATTGAATTATTAAGAGTGAGTTTAGCACGAAGGTTTCAAACCTTCAAAATGGGTGAGAAAAAAGTATACTTACGTAGAAAAGCAAATGAGACAACTACTAAATGAGTAAAGTACACCTGGCAGTTCCCTGCATTTTCTAGACTTCTATTTTTAAAAACTTTTTGTTTTAAACTAATTTTAGACTTACAGAAAATTTCCAAAAAATAGAACAGTTCCCTTACATTCCTCCCCCTGCTTTCCCTAATTTTAGCATCTTATATGATCGTAGTACAACTACTAAGATAAGAATTTAACACTCATAAAATATTAACTAAATCACAGGTCTTATTTGAATGTCAATAATTTTTCCACTAATATCCTTTTACTGTTCCAGGATCCCACACTGCACGTAGTTGTTCTTGTCCTTAGTCTCTTCCTGTATGTAACATTTCCTCACTCTTTCTCTTTCATGTCTTTGACACTTTTGAAAAGTATCAATCAGTTATTCTTTAGAACACCTCAAAATTTGTGGTTTTCTGATGACTGAAGTGACATTATACATTTTCGCAGAATTCCACAGAAATGAAATGTCATTCTTAGTGTATCACATCAAAGAGTTCAAAATTTATATTACTAGTGATGTTTACTTTGATCATTTGGTTGAAATGCATTCTGCCAGTTTTCACCACTATAGTCCTAGCTTTCCCTTTGTACTATAATACGTATTGTGGGGCAGATCATTTGAGTCTATGCCAATTGTTTCTCCTCTAACTTTTGCTCTCTAATTATTGCATTCATCTATTTTCTTTCTTCCTTCTATACTTACTAATTCAAGTTCTTCTGTAAGGAAGAATTGTTCCTTCTACCTTACTTTTTTGTTTATTCATTTAACAGTATGAATTCATAAATATTTATTTATTCTATGCATTAAAATCCAGAATTATTACAATATATTGTTTCTCAAATTATTCTAACTTTGGCCATGAACAACTAACTCATTACGGTTGGTTCCGAGTTCTTTTGACAAGCCCAGCATACCGCACTCCCTCCCACCTCAAAACAAGTGCCCGTCGTTTTTCGTTTTCTTTTTTTAAATTTTATTTGATTTTACTCATTATGCCATTACAGTTGTTCTATTTTCCCCCTTCATTCCCCTCCACCCTGCACCCCCCCACCCCCACCATTCCCCCCTTTAGTTTATGACCATGTGTCTCAAGTTCTTTAGATTCTATATTTCCCATACTATTCTTGCCCTCCCCCCTATGTATTTTCTACCTACCGTCTATACTACTTATTTTCTGTACCTTCTCCCCTCTTCTCCTTCTCCCACTCCCCTGTTGCTAACCCTCCATGAGATCTTCATTTCTATGTTTCTGCTCCTGATCTAGCTGTCCTTTTAGTTTGCTTTTGTTTTAGGTATGGTTCTTAATAACTGTTTGCTGTCCTTTCACTTCATATTTTTTATCATCTTTTTCTTAGATAAGTCCCTTATAACATTTCATATAATAAGGGCTTGGTGATGATGAACTCCTTGAACTTGACCTTATCTGAGAAGCACTTTACCTGTCCTTCCATTCTAAATGAAAGTTTTGCTGGACAGAGCAATCTTGGATGTAGGTCTTTGGATTTCATGACTTGGAATACCTCTTTCCAGCCCCTTCTTGCCTGTAAGGTCTCTTTTGAGAAATCAGCTGACAGTCTGATGGGAACTCCTTTGTAGGTGACTGTCCCCTTATCTCTTGCTGCTTGTAGGACTCTCTCCTTCATTTTAATCTTGGCTAATGTAATGATGATGTGCCTTGGTGTGTTTCTTCTTGGGTCCAACTTCTTTGGGACTCTCTGAGCTTCCTGGATTTCCTGGAAGTTTATTGCCTTTGCCAGATTGGGGAAATTCTCCTTTATTATTTGTTCAAATAAGTTTTCCACTGGTGGCTGTTCCTTTCCCCCTTCTGGTACCCCTATAATTCGTACGTTGGAGCGTTTAAAGATGTCCTGGAGGTTCCCAAGCCTCTCCTCATTTTTTTGAATTCTTGTTTCTTCATTCTTTTCTGGTTGGTCATATTTTTCTTCCTTCTGGTTCACTCCCTTGATCTGAGTCCCGGTTTCCTTTTTATCACTATTGGTTTCCTGTGTATTTCCCTTCATTTCAATCAGTTTAGCCTTCATATGTTCTTCTAATTTGTGACTAAAATCAACCAGTTCTGTAAGCATTCTGATCACCAGTGTTTTGAACTGTGCATCTGAAAGTTTTGTTATTTCTTCGTTGCTTAGAGTTATGGGCTCTGGGGCTTTGAGATCTTTTTGAGCCATTTTTGGTCTGTTCGCGTCCGTTAGGTATGAGGAGCGAAGCCTTAGGTGTTCACCAGAGCGGGGCCGCCAGGTCACTGGGTTGTGATGCTGTATGTGGGGGTGGGGTCAGAGCAGGGAAATGGTGACCCCCTCTGCTGCTTCCCACTGCTGGGGCCTGCTCGGTCCAGTCTCACTGCTCACTCCTTCGCAGCCCCATCGTTTTTCAAGCACTTCCTTACTTTCTTGCACCAGAAGATGTTTAAGGCACACACTGTATTAAATTACTGCTCCAGGAACTAGGAGCCCTAGTTCCTTTTATCAGAGAATAAAAGGTTTTTAGAAACCAAGGTCTGGGTGCTAGGTATACTAATTTTTATTGGGGTGTCACTGCTCCTAGGCCCTCTCAGTAAACAGAGCTAGGAAAAAAAAACATACTAATTCATACATACACACCCAACAATATTTCTTTATTTATCTATATGTACACAAAAAACCATATACTGATATCTGATTCCAACCAAACTTCACAGGCTTCATTTTAGCTTTTCACTTTCCTTTTCTTCACTTGTAACTTCTTTCTCCAACAGTGAGAAATACAATATATTTATTTGACTCCTTTCTCATCCCTGCTAGCCCATTCCCATCCCTTCCCTTTTTCTACCCTTTTCCTGCCTTGCCCCTATAAGGAATCAATCACTTTAATTCTGATTTATCCTTCAATTTATTTTGCATAAATAAACAGTTATTTGTGCATTTTCTGTATTTCCTTTTCTAATATGAAAGGTAAATACTCTAATACTTGTTCATGTTTTGTTTTTTTTTCACTTAACAGTAGGTTCTATAAATTCTTCATATCAGTTCAGAGAAGTCATCTTTATTCTTTTAACAGCAGCATAATAATCCACTATGTAGATCTACCATTGTTTAATTCAAGCCCCACATATGGCCATTTAGGCTGTTTCTATTATTTTGCAATCACAAATAATACTGCAGTGAATAACCAAAAACATTATGGTTCTTCTTGAGCCATAATGTTCTGCTCTGTTCGTGCCTGTTAGGTATGAGGAGCAGAGTCTTAGGTGTTCACCAGGGCGGGGCCACCCAGGTCACTGGTTTGTGACGCTGTATATGGGGGTGGGGTCAGAGAGGGACAATAGTGGTCAGAGAGGGACAATAGTGGTCCCCTCTGTTGCATCCTGACACTGGGGCCTGCGAGGTCCATCTCATTGCTCGCTCCTTTACCAGTTTATCTGCTCGCGAATGTGTGACCTCAGTCAGCCCTCAGTGGGTCCGCCACCTTGCGCCCTCAATGAGTCCGCCCGCTGCTACTCCACACCTGGGATCTGCCCACGGCTCCCTGTGCGCCTGGGTCGGTCCAGTGGATCTTTCCGGCCCGAACCCGCTCTGCTGCTGCCTCTGCCCCTCTTACTGGTTTGGCTGAAGGGTTCGTTGTTGTCAGACTTCCATATAGTTCAACTGTCTGTGATTTGGCTGTGTTTTCGTTGCTAAAACTTTGTTGTTTTTAAACTTGTTTGTGTGAGAAGGCACAGTGTTTCCACCTACGCCTCCATCTTGGCGAAGTCTTCTCTCTCCATTTTTAAGAACTATTTATTTTTAGTGATAACTGCCCTCAGACCATAGTATACAATGTAAATAATCTCCCCCAGTTTGCCAGCTGTTTGTTGTCATGTAAAATTTTATTTTGTGTAGTCAAATTTATCAATGTTTGCTTTTATTGCTCTTGAATGCTGAGTCACAGAAATTCTTTTCCTATGCTAAGGATAAATAGGAATGCAATTATTTTCTTCTAGTATTTGGACTGTTTAGTTTTTTTACACTGAGATCCATTTGGAGTATATGAGTGAGACACAGATCTAATTTTACTTTTTTGCGAAATAGATACGCTGTTGCCCTAGCACCACTTATTTTATTTTCCTTTTCACCGAATTTATTGGGGTGACACTGGTTAACAAAATTATACAGGTTTCAGGTGCACAATTCTACAACGCGTACACTGTACCATGTGTTCACCACCCCAAGTGTCCTTCCACCAACATTTACCCCTCACACCCTCCCTCATCTCCTCCCCTATGTAGCATTACTTATTAAAATAGCAGAAAGAATGCTTAAAGTTTTCTTGAATCATTCACCTTTTCTTCTAATGCCTATCATTATTCAGTAACACACAAATGTCTGAATTCTGTATTCTGTAAGAATTCTGTACAGAATTCTAAATTCTGTAAGAAACACATCTCAACAATTTTATTTTAGTTTCCTCATTATCACATATATATTTGCTGTCAACCTCCACTGATGTATGTAAGAAAACTGAGTTCCTTTCTCAATGAACACGGTATTGTTTGGCCAAGGAATATCACATAATTATTTGTATTGTGAATTCTGATTAAATTCTAGAAAACCAGTTAAGTGAAGCATTCTCTTAAGTACAACAGATGAGTTTCCTTTCTGAAGTGTCAAGATATTTAACTCTTCACTGTTCCTCTTACAAGGGCAGGTGGAGAAAACATTCTTGCCCTCACCTGTACTGAAGACACTCACTCACCTTTGGTAGTTCCTTTTTCACAATGCTGAGCCATACTTTCCTGCGACGAGCATTAAGCTGCTCAATGGATAAGTGCTTCTTCTTGATGCCAGGAGGAGGTGCATCATGAGAGAACTTGGCAAAGACTTTGGTCTGGTGGTGGCGACGAGGGGATTCTTCAGAGGAAAGTTCTTCATCCCTTCGCCTTTTTTTCTTCACTTTTTTCAACTTGGCTGCAAAGGAAATAGACTCTCAGGAGATTGCATTTCTTCCCTTCCACAGGAGACAGCAACAAAACAACCTCATCACTTTTAGAAAACTCAAGGTTCTTTCCTCATTCCACTTGAAGCTGGCAATGTTTATCCCTTTATCTGCTCAGGCCCATGAATATTCCAACAGAAAGATCTCAGTACCTTGGTAAAGAACACTGGATACTTACTCTGTTTACATCAAAGAGAAACACAGAATAAAAACAAAAAAACGGAATTTCTTCTGAACTCAAAAATAGAAAAGTTTATGAAGTATCATGGGCTCAAGTAATGGTCAAAACTAAGGAAACATTTCTAGTTGGTGGCAATGTAAGGTAACTAAAGAAAGAGAGAAAGAAAAATGCCTTGATTAAATGCATTAAATGACTTATGAAAAGAAAATTATACATGGAACCTGAGAGGGGAGGATGTGAAGAATGAGAAAACACAAAAATAAACAATGAGGATATGGAAGAAAGAAGGGGAAATGGCTGAAAAGAGTCTTTCTGAGCAGAGTTTATACCTTTAGGAGAATAAAATCTATACAGATAGTTTAACTTTCCCTTCCTACTTCCTTCCTGATTTCCAGCTGCTCAGAATTCATTAAGATAAAAATGACATATCCTGGGAAACATGCAAAAAATACTACAGAAGGTCATCAGGAGGTAATCTATTTTAAATCACCACATGTAGCAACAATGATAACTTATAGCAGACCCTTCAGGTTACTCCTCTTAGGCCCCTGTGCATAACCAACCTCTTCTACTCCCAGAGCATGTTAGACATTTGGAGTATATAGAAGAAAAAGGAATAAGCTCATTGGAATAAACCAGGAATCCATAATTCTTATGTCTTCATAATTCTAGAAAAGATCATAAAGCAAATATAAAATAAGGCTAATAATATTTACAACTAATTAGATGGGGGTGGGGGGTTTTTTTTTTAGATAAAGCAAATTCCTACTATACGGATTATGTTTAAGGATTATGGCCTCCCAAATGCATCAGGAGGCCATATGAAATCCTGAAAGTAAGAATGAGTAAATGTGGAAGGCAGATCAATGTGCTCACCTTTAAGTTTCTTTTCTTCCTTAAATTTCTTTTTTTTGGGTCCAAGCAGGTGACGTTGTTGCTCATAAAAAGGGTCATATGTGGAGAGCAGGCCTGCACTGTAGTACTGATATTGCTGCAACTGAAGCAGGCAGAGACAGTGATCCTTAGAAGGGCCTATGTGTGACCTATAGCATAGTCCAAATCATCTTTACCACAGAAAGCTGAGCCAGAGAAAAACCATAGTCCCTAAATACAGTGTTCTTTCCACAAAGAGACCAAGAGAGATTTATTTCCTAAACTTCAAATAAAAATGGATTCATTGGCTATGCACATGGTAAGTTCAGGAAATAAGGAAAACCATTCACGCTTCTGAATCTCCACCAGAATATTTACTTAGTCCTTACACACAGCATGGAGCAAAAGAAGGTTTACATTTGTTCATATGGAAAGTAATACAATAATTAATAAATAACAATATAAGAATAAAACTGTTCCATCTACTCACGACTGTAAACCTACTTTTGCCCCACACTGTATTTCAGAAATGCAATTCTTTGCAGTAAGATCTCCTCTTGAAATTCTTCAGCAACATATAAATCATATTTGTTACCAACAGGTCCTCAGATTTTCCAAGATTTCTGATCTAGCTGTTCTAGGTTACCATCTTATATTTGGTTCGAACAGACACCAGCCATCCGAATACTTCAATCTTACAAGTCTTTTCTCTCTTCATCTCCTTCTAAGGGAGTCTGACAATATTGTGAATAGTATCTCTGTTGCTAGAATTCTAACATATAAATATCAATTTTTCTTTCTGGGAAGTAGCTTATCCTTTCAAACATTTTATTTAAATTGACCTTCAAAGCTCTCATTATCCTGTCACATTTATTACTAATGGATAAATATAAATTAAAATCATGTAGTCCAGTGTCAAATCTCTTTTCCTGGATTATGGCCAAATGAATTGCCAAAGGAATGAAATTAGAAGAGTGAAACAGAAAACTATTACAAGGTCCTCTATCAAATGTCAAAATTAAATGAGCATTCATCAAGCTGTATACTTACAAATTAAGGTCAATAATACTTACAACTTCCCCTTTTTATGTTTTACTTCAATTTAAAAAAAAACATTTCAAGCACCAAGTATCTTAACACTGTACCTTAAGGAGGAACCCTCTGTCTTAATCAAAACAGTCAGATATCTTACTGTTTATTACTTCTACAGGCTAATATCCTTCAGCAAATTATTCATAGCTTTTTGAACTTTGGACCTTAACTAATTGCTGGAAAGTTTTTAGATTTTCGAATATGCTATTGCTCATGTGCAAAGCACTATACTTCTGTCAAAAATCAGGCAGCTTTGGTAACAGCACTCAAATAACTATCATCAGTCTAATGTTAGAATGTGAATAAAGGAAGGTTTTTTCAAGACAGGAATACTTCCAAAGAACAAATGTATTTAAAAAAAACAACACACTACATTTAAAATGAAGTAGCCTCTTTGGAAAATAGTCTGCCAGTTCCTTAAAAGGATAATTAAACACAAAGTTACCATATGACCCAGTAACCCAAGATAAATAAAAACACACGACCACACACAAAACACGTGAACTCAAATCTTCACGGCATCATTAATCATAATAGCCAAAAGTAAAAATAACTCACTATTCACAGCTATGATTCATAATAGCCAAAAAGTAAAAACAATCCAATTATTTCATCAACTCATGCCCATATAAATAAAATACAGTATGTCCAGTCAATGGAATGTTACTTGCAAATAAAAAGAAGCTAGGCATTGATATTTGAAGTCCATCCAGAAAAAGTCCGGCTAATGTTAATGAGAACAATTTGCACAATATTGATGTAACCTGGGAGCCAAGAAGTGACTGGAATGTGCATGAGTGAACAATGATGACTTCACTGTACTAGTTAGTGGGGGCAGTAGACACTCTTGAGTGAGCATGTGTGCTGTGTGGCTGTCTGCATGGAAAATGACTGAGTGAAACAATGAATGAATATTCATCATATTTTGTGTTAAGCTTGAACATTCTTCTGTAAAAACTACTCAGATGATTCAGAAGGCCACAGCTATGGGCAACTGGTGACTGGCAGCTTCATCATGACAATGAGGCCACTTAATGCATAGTATCTCCTACAGAGTTATTTGGCAAAACATCAAATCACCCAGGTGACTCAGCCCCCTACAACCCAGATTTGGTACCCTGTGACTTCTGGCTTTTCCTAAAACTAAAATCACATTTGAAAGGGAGGAAATTTCAGATAGTCTATGAGAGTCGGGATAATACAATGGGGAAGCTAATGACTGGGAGAACTGTGTGAGGTCCCAAGGTGCCTACTTTGAAGGGGACTGAAGCATGATTATCCTATGTACACTGTTTCTTGTACCTTGTATCTTCAATAAATGTCTCTTATTTTTCATATTACATGGTTGGACACCTTCTGGACACACCTTGGATGCTATAACATAAGTGAATCTTGAAAACATTATGCTAAGTGTAAGGAAATGAATACAAAGAACACATGTTTTTTCCATTTGTATGAAATATCTAGAATAGACACATTTATAGAAACAGATGGACTAATGACTGTCTGGAACTGAGAGAAAGGGAGAGAATAGGGGTCAACAACTAAGGGGAATGGGTTTTCTTTGTGCAGTAACAAAATAATCTGAATTAAATAGTGATAATAGTTACATAACTCTATGAATACACTGAATGGTACACCTTAGAAAGCTGAATTTTTTTTTTTAATTAAAGATTTTGTTTATTTTTTGAGGGAGGGGAAGGGAAGGAGAAACTTCGATGTGCGAGAGAAACACTGATGGGTTGCTCACTGTACAGCCACAACCAGGGACCTGGCCCACAACCCAGGCAAGCACTCTGACCAGAGATCAAACCAGTGACTTTCTGTCTGTGGTACAACATCCAAACCCTTAAGTGACACCAGCCAGGTCTAGAAGGCTTAATTTTTTTGTATGTGAAATGTATTTCAATAAAGCTGTTACTATAACAACTACTATCACCATCTAAATATAAAGTCAAAATAATGTATCTTCAATGACTACAAGCCCAAGGGTAATAATACCCAGCATGAGTGGTCTGATATGTTTCCTGAAACTCTCACCTCCTTGTCTTTACTGTATTTATTCTGGTGAAGTTTCTTATATTTGTGCAGCCGCAACATGTTATGAAGTTCTTCTCTGCTGAGATTGAGTTCTTCTTCCTCTTCTTCCTCCTCTTCCTCCTCCTCTTCCTCATTGTCTTCACTTTGAGAATCTGCCTCACTGGACTCATCACTTAGCAGAATGCTCTGAAAAAGGGAGGAAATGGAAATGGAACTTCTGCTATGAAGCAATTCCTTTTACCATGAAAGCATTTTTAAAAATGGAATTTACTGAGGTAACATTCATTAATAAAATTATACAGGATTCAGGTGTACAATTCTGTAACGCATCATCTGCATACTGTATTGTTCAACACCCTAAGACAATAGAACTATTTTTTTCCAGATTCCAAAACAATGACAAAAACAGATGAAGAACAGTCATTCCAGTTTCCCTTACACTATTCTCTGCCAATTCAACTGAAAAACAAAAGGATACCAATTAAACCCAGGAGGAACAAAGTAAAGAGCACTAAAACATGGAAAATGCTATAAACATCAATAAAGCTAGATTTTACTAAGTATTTACACTATACATAAGATAATTTAACTAAATATCGAATACCAAAGCAAAAAAAAAAAAACAACTGTGATGGCGAATAAACAATTCCCAAATCCATTGATGACTGTGTAAACAAAATGTGGTAGTATATAAATAATGAAATATTATTCATCAGTAAAAAGGAATAAAGTACTGATATGTGGCACATCATTAATGAACTTTGAAAATATTATGCTGAATGAAAGAAGCCAGAAACAAAAGGCAACATATTACATGATTCTGTTTATATGAAATGTCCAGAAGAGGCAAGTCCAAAGAGACAGAAAACAGATCAGTGGTTGCCAGAGGCTGAGGATGTAGAGAATGGGAAGTGACTGCTAATAAGTACAGGTTTCCTTCTGGAGTGATGAAAATGCTTTGGAAACAGAGAGTGATGATGGATACACAAAACTTTATTAATACACTAGAAATTACTAAATGACACACTTTAAAAGGGTAGATTTTATGGCATATGAATTTTATCTTAATTTCTTAAAATGTGATGACTAAAAAAAGATTTCTGCATTTCCAAATGCTTGAAGTCTCACTGATATGAAGCAAACCTGGCCTTTTACACATGAGTTTTTTTAAAGAGCCTAGATATAATAATAAAGGAATACCTTTAAATTACTTTCCACTCTTCACAAGAAAAGTATGAAATAGAGAAATAATTATTTTCAATAGAAGAAATGCTACCCTTAACTCAGTTTAGCCAATGACAGTAAGCTTGTGAGAGTGTTAACCAGATTGTGCCACTCTTGCTTATAAAGACTCCAATGGCTTACCACTGTAAAAAGAGTAAAATACAAATTCCCTGACATAGTGCACAAAGGCCCTCAGTGATCAGGCTCTGTAACCTTATTTTTCTGCCACCCCCTCACTCCCTGTCTTCTAGCCATTGCAGCATTCTTTCTCCCCCAAACATACTGACTTGCTTCCTTTCTCAGAACTTTTGCAGTTATTCCTTTTTGTTATTTTAAAAATATATTTTATTGGTTATGCTATTAGTTGTCCCGACTTCCTCCTTTTTGCCCCCCTCTGCCTAGCACCCCCCTTCCCTCTAGCAATCCCCCTCCTTAGTTCATGTCCATGGGTCATGCATATAAGTTCTTTGGCGTCACATTTCCTACACTATTCTTAACATCCTCCTGTCTAGTTTGTACCTAAAGATTTATGCTTCTTAATCCCTGCATCTTTCCCCCATTTTCCACCTTCCCCCTCTCAGCTGACAACCCTCCAAATGATCTCCATATCTATGATTTGGTTTCTGTTCTGCTTGTTTGCCTGGTTTGTTTTTTAGATTGAGTTGTTGACAGTTGTGAATTTGTTGCCATTTTAATGTTCCAAGTTTTTTGGGGAAGTTTTGGAAGTTTTTTTGTTTTTAGTCCCTTTAACATTAATACAATAATGGCTTGGTGATGACAAACTCCTTTAGCTTTCTTTACCTTGTCTGGGAAACACTATCTGCCCTTCCATTCTGACAGCTTGCTGGACAAATTGTAGATCCTTGCTTTTCATCACTTTGAATACTTCTTGCCAGTCCCTTCTTGCCTGCAGTTTCTTTTGAGAAATCAGCTGACAGTCTGATGGTAACTCCTGTGTAGGTAACTCTCTGCTCTTCTCTGGATGCTTGTAAGATTCTCTTTATCTGTAACCCTTGGCATTTTAATTATTACGTTTTTTGGTGTAGTCTTAAGTCCAACTTGTTTGGGACTCTCTGTGCTTTCTAGACTTGTATATCTATTTCCTTCACCAAATTAGGTAAGTTATTTTCCATTGTTTTTTCAAGTAGGTTTTCAATTTCTTGCTCTTCCTCTTCTTCTGGCATCCCTATGATTAGGATGTTGGTACATATGGAGATGTCCCAGGAGTTCTTATTCTGTCCCCATTTTTAATTTTTTCCTTGCTGTTCTCATTGAATGCCTTTCTCTTCCATATGTTCCAGAATGTTGATTTCTCAGTTTCAGATTTCTCCTCCACTGTTGTTGGTTCCCTGTAGACTTTTATTTCACTAATGTAACCTTCACTTCTGTTTGGGTCTTTTTATATGCTGCTGCCAACCTCAATGAGTTATTTGAGCATCCTGATAACCAGTGTTTTGAACTCCGCATCTAATAGGTTGGTTATCTCTGTTTCATTTTGTTCTTTTACTGGAGTTTTCATCTGTTCTTTCACTTGGGCCAGATTTGTCTCCTCAATTTGACAGCCTCACTGTGTTTTTGTGTATTAGGTAGAGTTGCTTTAACTCCCTGTCTTAGTAACATGACCTACTGTAGAAAAGCAGACCTGCAAATTGCATGGGGTGGAGTCATAGGTGATTGCCAGGGTGGGGCAACCCGTTTCACCACCTTATGGCTCTGTGTGAGGAGAGGTCTTAGAGAGGAGACAATGCCACTATCCGGCTTCTGGAGATTTGCCCAGGAGAAAGCTGTTTCCTGGCAGTTGCCCTGTTTCCAGTCACTTTACTTTCTTCCTATATGCCATTTTGTACCCTTCCAGCTGTTACCCTGGTGCTGAATCCCAGAGGGAATGGGTCTATGTAACTCTTCTATCCGTGAAGGCCCTCCAAGTCTCCTAATAATCCCGCAGTCTCTTCTGCCACCACAACCCTCACTAGTTTTTACAGCCGTAACTTATGGGGATTTATCTTCCTGATACTGGAACCCTGAGCTACTGGTTGTCTGGTTTGGGGCTGGCCCCTCACTCCCAAAGTAACCCTCCCAATTTTTATTCACCACACATGAATGTAGGACTGTGGCTCCATGCTTCTCCGCCTCTATGTCTCTGCCCCTCCTACTCATCTGGATGAATGTGGCTTCTTTAAATCCTTGGTTGTCGGACATCCATACAGCTCAATTTTCTGATGAGTCTGGGTGATATTTGTTTTGTAGTCTAGTTACGATTTTTGCCATAGTTGTGCAAAGAAGTGAAGCTTGTTTACCCACGCCTCGATCTTGACCAGAAATCTCCTCCCAGTTATTCATTGTGATTGAAATGTGCACATCTGAAACTTTCACATATGTTTCTCTGATCATTCAGAAATCAGTTGAAATGTTTCTTTAAAGTCATATTTATTTATTCATTTATAGGCTTACTCACTGGCTTTCTCCATTAGATTATAAACTCCACAGGGCATGAATCCTGTCTATGTACAACAGTATCTGGCTCATAGGACATGCTCAATCAATATTTGGTGAATGAAAAAACTACTCAAGGACTAGTGAAAAGTAGATTAAATATCCCAATTACAATGTGAGCCAGTGAGGGCAAGGATCTTATCTAATATATACTTACACTCCCTTTATCCACAGTGCTTTTGTACTCAACAGTGTTTACTAAAATGAACTTCACTGGGTCTTCTATATTCCTCTCTATAATCTCTTTAAAAAACCACACCCAGAGTAAAAACTCATCTCTAAAGAAATCCCTGCCAATGTGTCAGAATGCATCAATATCTTTCCCTTTTATTTGTAGTTAGTAGGTTATTCGAATTCTAAACATTCCATCTTCTCTTACCTTTAGCCACTTCCTGCTTTTCTTCAATTTAGAGAAGTTATATAAATTTCCTTTGTCAGATTTGGATTCTGTGTAAAGAAAAAAAATAATAAATGAATGAGTAAGTCTAGGTGGTGTGCCTCAGTGGACTGAGCACTGGCCTACAGGTTGAACTGATAGACTGTTGGTTTGATTCCTGGTCAGAGTACATGCCTGGGTTATAGGCCAGGTCCCCAGTTAGGGGTATGTGAGAGGGAACTGATCAATGTATCTCTCACGTGTTGATGTTTCTCTCCCTTTCTTTCTCCCTCCCCCTCTCTAAAAAAATAAATAATCCTGAAAGAAAGATAGGAAGAAAGGAGAGGAGAAAGGAGAAAGAAGAGGAGAGGAAAAGAAAGGAAAGGGAAAAAAAAGAAAAGAAAAGAAAGAACTACCCCAATAGAACTGATAGTCTGAAGAGGGATCTCATGCCACACTGACCTGACTGTAGAACTCCATTCAGTGAGTATGTGTTTAACATTCCAGAATTGCTTGCTCCAGAAGATTCACCAAGGAAAGAATTTGGAGGTTCTTCCTTAACTTGTATTAAGGGATCCCCAGACTGGGGCAATAAAGGATTACTGTCATCCAGTCCATCTTCACTTTCATCACTATAAATTGAAGAATGGTGAATCCATAATCAGAGCTGATCCAGCAAAATATTATAATTTATGCTTAAGACTGAACATTTTAGCCCTAGCTTCAGATGGTTGGAATACTCTCCCATAAACAGGCCATAGGTTTGATTCCCAGTCAAGGCGCATACAGTCCCTAGGATTCAGTCCCCAGTCAGGCTGCGTATGAGAGGCAAACACCCAATATTTCTCTCTCAAACCGATGCTTCTCTCCCTATCTTCCTCCCTCCCTTACCCTCTTTCTAATATCAGTACGCATATCCTTGGGTGAGGTTAAGGAAAAAAAAAAAGACGGAACACTTTACAGAAGAAACTGATCCTTTGAGTAAGTTCAGTATGTTTTATTTGAAAGAACATCAAACATGCTAAAACTCATAAATTATTTTAATTCTAAAATCTACAGCAATAATGGAAATCAGAAATACAACTGAAAATCATAGTGGGAAGATGGATTAGCCTACCTAGAAATATTCCTGTTGAAGATGGCTGATGTTTGTCGCAAGAAATGGTCCAACCGGAGGGCCCTCTCCAGGTACTGAAGGTAGAGGGGCTTTGCCAGCTCAGTGCAGCCGCCATCGTCCCCGGCACCCAACTCTGAGGCCATAGAACAAATCTGTCTTCATGCACAAGGGTTTCCGACTACACGGCTGCAGGATGAAGACAGGTAGTTAAAGATGAAATACTATTATTCTCTTTTTAGTTTGAATGCTTGTTTTCAGCGTGAAAAGAAATCAGACCTACTCTGGAGCAAGATTATAATAAAGCTCATGATAGGCACTGCCTTCTAATGCAAAGACAAAAATTAAAAGGATAAGAACATCAAAATGCAGAAAAATTGTCATATGTCTCAATGGCAATTCATATACATGAATTGAAATAGCACCTTAAAATTTACACCCATTTCTTTTGCCCTATGATTAAAAGCCACTCACGTTAACCCAAATCTACACAAGCTAATTGCTATACACCTCACAGAAGAGCTTTACCACATTGTTCTTAGAATCACCCTCAAAACAGCTGCTCCATTTTTTCATTTTGTATTTGTACATATGTGTGAGGTATTCCATTTACAAGAGATTAGATATACTGGCAGAGTATTTTATAATCCCTTGTAAAACATGCCAAAAGTATAGAAGTAACACAGAAAACTGGAGCAAAAAGAATAAAAGTGAGAATAAAACACATGTATAGCCTGACCATTCATTCTCTTTATTATTTTAAATTGTGACAATGTCAGAGTCAGAATATCTTCATTAGAGAAATAATCAGCACAACAATTTTCCATCTTTCATGTAATATTTTCTGTCTTATCTTACTCTGTTATCTTTAAAAACTTAAGAAGTTTGCCCTGGCTAGTGTGACTCAGTGGGCTGAGTGCTGGCCTGTAAACCAAAGAATCACCGGTTAGATTCCCAGTCTATAGCACATGTCTGTGTTGCAGACCATATCCCTAGTAGGGGATGCACAAGAAGCAACCACACATTGATGTTTTCTCCCTCTCTTTCTCCTTCCTTTCCCCTTTAAAAGTAAATAAATTAAAACCTTTTAAAAAATTAAGAAGTTAACCCAGGATTAGATCATGAGAATACATAGAAAGGGCAATTAGATCACCATGTGACATACAATGAGGACTTAGTAAGTGGTGAATGCTGTTTTAGTACTTCATAATCTATCAAACTATGGTATAAGCTTTAAAGAAAACCACAATATCTTGAGACTTCCACCAAGATGGAGGCGTAGGTGGGAACACTGTGCCTTCGCACACAACCAAATTTAAAAACAACCAAGTTTTAAAAACAAAAATGCAGCCAAACCACAGAAAATTTAACTATACAGAAGTCTGACAACGATGAACCCTTCAGCCAAACCGGTAAGAGGGGGAGAGCCAGGAGCAGAGCGGGGTCAGGCAGTAAAGATCCACCAGACCAACCCGGGCACTTGAGCCAGGTGCACAGGCAGCCGTGGGTGGATCCCAGGTGTGGAGTAGCGGGTGGACCCACTGAGGGCTGACTGAGGTCACACATTTGTGCGCAGATAAACCAGTAAAAGAGCAAGCAGTGAGACGGACTGCACAGGTACCAGCAGCGGGAAGCGGCACAGGGGACCGCCACTGTCCCTCTCTGACCCCACCCCCACATACAGCATCACAACCAGCGACCTGGGTAGCCCCGCCCTGGTGAACAACTAAGGCTCCGCTCCTCATACATAACGGGCACGAAACAGATCAAAACATGGCTCAAGAACAACTGAGAGCCCCAGAGCCAATAAATCTAATTGACCAAAAAATAGCCGAACTTTAAGATGCACAGTTCAAAACACTGGTGATCAGGATGCTCACAGAACTGGTTGATTTTAGTTGCAAATTAGAGGAACATATGAAGGCTAAACTAATTGAAATGAAAGGAAATGCACAGGAAACCAATAGTGATGAAAAGGAAACTGGGACTCAAATTAAGGGAGAGAACCAGAAGGAAGAAAAAAATGACCAAACAGAAAAATATGAAGAAACAAGAACTCAAAAAAATGAGGAGAGGCATAGGAACCTCCAGGACATCTTTAAACACTCCAACATCTGAAATATAGGGGTACCAGAAGGGGAAGAGGAACAGCCACCAGTGGAAAACTTATCTGAACAAATAATCAAGGAGAATTTCCCCAATCTGGCAAAGGCAGAAGACTTCCAGGAAGCTCAGAGAGTCCCAAAGAAGTTGGACCCAAGAAGAAACACACCAAGGCACATCATCATTACATTAGCCAAGAATGAAATGAAGGAGAGAATCCTACAAGCAGCAAGAGATGAAGGGACAGTCACCTACAAAGGAGTTCCCATCAGACTGTCAGCTGATTTCTCAAAAGAGACCTTACAGGCAAGAAGGGGCTGGAAAGAAGTATTCCAAGTCATGAAATCCAAAGACCTACAACCAAGATTGCTCTATCCAGCAAAGCTTTCATTTAGAATGGAAGGGCAGATAAAGTGCTTCTCAGATAAGGTCAAGTTCAAGGAGTTCATCATCACCAAGCCCTTATTATATGAAATGTTATAAGGGACTTATCTAAGAAAAAGAAGATAAAAAAGATGAACAGTGAAGGACAGCAAACTCACAGTTATTACAACCATACCTAAAACAAAAGCAAACTAAAAGGACAGGTAGATCAGGAGTGAACCATAGAAATGAAGATCTCATGGAGGGTTAGCAACAGGGGAGTGGGAGAAGGAAAAGGGGGAGAAGGTACAGAAAATAAGTAGCACAGAAAGTAGGTAGAAAATAGATAGAGGGGAGGGCAAGAATAGTAGGGGAAATACAGAATCTAAAGAACTTGAGACACATGGCCATAAACTAAAGGGGGAATGGTGGGGGAGGGAGTGTGCAGGGTGGAGGGGAATGAAGGGGGAAAATAGAACAACTGTAATGGCATAATCAATAAATATATTTTTAAAAAAAAAAGAAAATCGCAATATCTTTACCTTGAGTTACCTTCTTTTTATCATAGTTTTTAAATTTTGCTAATATAATCTTTCTACTTATAGAAATGTTAGAAACTCCCCCACACTTAATCTATAAATTTAACACAATCCTTATCAAAATCTCAGTAGGCTGCTGTTTCTCCCCCCCAAAATTGACAAGCTGATTCTTAAAATTTATATGGAAACACAAAGAAACCAGAATGGCTAAAATAATGTTTTAAAAGAATAGGGTTAGATGATTTACACTCCTGATTTTAAAACATATTAAGGCCCTGGCTGGTGTGGCTCAGTGGATTGAGCGACGGCCTGCGCACTGAAAGGTTGCTTGCTGAATTCCTCTTCAGGACACATGCTGGTGGTGGGTGTGCAAGAGGCAACAGATTGATGTTTTTCTGACACGTCAGTGTTTCTCTTCCTCTCTTTCTCCCTCCCTTCCCTTTTCTCTAAAAATAAGTAAAATCTAAAAAAATATATTAAGCTATAGTAATCAGACCACTGCGGTACTAGAATAAGGATAACTACATAAACCAATAAAACATACCTAAGGATCCACAACAAACTCTTACATAATGTCAGTTTTTTTTATTTCATTTTTAAATTAAAAAAAAAAGTTTTTCAATTATAGTTGACATTCAGTACTCTTGTTAGTCGCAGGTATGCAGCACAGAAGTTAGGCACTTAAATAACTTACAAAGTAACACTCCCATAAGTGTAATACCAACCTAACAGCACACAGAGTTTTTACAATATTATTGCCTCTATCCCCTATATATACTTTATATTCCTGTGACTATTCTGAAACTGCCAATTTGTACTTACCTTCACCTTAACCCCACTCCCATCTGGCAACCATGAGTCTGTTCTCTGTATGAGTTTGTCCCTCTTTGGTTTGTTCACTTGTTTTTTTTAGATTTTATATATAAGTGCAATCACATGGCATTCGTCTTTCTAGTTCACTAAGCATAATATGCTCTAGGTCTATCCATGCTGTCACAAATGGTAAGATTTCATAACTTTTTATGGTCAAATAATATTCTATTATATACATGTCCCAACTCTTCTATATCCAATCACCTAATGGACACTTGGGTTGCTTTCACACCTTGGCTACTGTAAAGAATGTTGCAATGAACAGGAATGCATGTATCTTTTTGACATAGTGTTTTCAATTTCTTCAGATAAACACCCAGAAGTGGGATTTCTGGGTCATACAGTATCGCTATTTTTAATTTTTTGAAGAGCCTCCATACAGTTTTCCACAGTGGCTGCACCAATTTGCAATCCCACCAACTGTGCACGAGGGTTCCCTTTTCTCGTCGACATCCTCACCAACATTTGTCACTTGTTCTTTATTGATGACAACCATTCTGACAAGTGTGAGGTGACATCTCACTGTGGTTTTAATTTGCATTTCTCTGATGCTTAGTGACACCGAGCATCTTTTCATGTCTATCGGCTATCTGTATGTTCTCTATAAAGAATGTCTATTCAGCCTCTGTGCCCATTTACATCAGACTGTTATTTTGGGGAGGTGTTATGTTATATGAGTTCTTTACATATTTGGGATATTAACCTCTATGTCTCATTAGCAAATATCCGCTCCCATTCAGTGGGTTGTGTTTTGTTTTGTTGATAGTTTACTTTGCTATGCAAAAACTTTTTAGTTTGCTGTAGTCACATTTGTTTAGCCTTTGTTTCCCTTGACTGAAGAGATCAAGTTTAATGCCTGTGTTTCCTTCTAGGAGTTTTACGGTTTTGGGTCTTACATTTAAATCTTTAATCCATTTTGAGTTTAGTCTTGTATGTGGTACAGGAGAGTAGTCTAGTTTCACTTTTTTTTAAATTAATCTGTTCAGTTTTCCCAACATCATTTATTAAAGAAATTATCTTTACTCCACTGTATATTGTCTCCTTTATCCTACCTTAATTGACCACTTAGGCATGGATTTATTTCTGGGCTCTCTATTTTGTTAGTCATTTGTGTGTCTTTTTTAATGCCAGTACTATGCTGTTTTAGTTACTAGAGTCTTGTAGTTTGGTTTGATATCAGGTCATATGACACTTCCAAACTCTGCTCTTTCTCAAGACTGCTGTGGCTATTTTAGGGGGTCATTTGTTGTTCCACCTAAGTTTTAGGATTATTTGTTCTAGTTCTGTGAAAAATGCTATTGATATTTTGAT